TATTCTTTCAAACACTTTCATTTTGTTCATTGTGTTTAACTTTAAGATGTGGTATCATGACTGATATGTTCCTGTATACAAAGTAGGTCTAGTCATGCTACAACAGATAGATTATCTATACCGTAATCATGTTACCACATGACAAACACTAGATATTGGCTCAGAAAAAGTTTACAACTTGCAGCCTGCTCATAGATGTATGAACTGAATTCTAAGTTTCTTTCTGAAACATGTTACTGATGTAGTTTTGGTTTTCACATATTAATCATTAGAGGTGTAATGATACAAGGCTGAGATGTGGTATGTATCCCCATATATTGGTGTGATGTGTTTTGTTTTCCTATACAGCCCAGGTATTTCATACGTTCATTTTTATTTCTCATTATTCAGGTGACTCACAATCTTGAATTGTCTGTATTTAAACCTCTGACAATAGAGATGGAATATTGTACATTGTTGTAGGGGAGAAACTATTAGCTCCAGGCACAATGCAGATTCTGCTATTTATAGCCAATGGGAAATACTCCAGAACCTGCATAAACCTTGTATTGAAGAGTTTCTCATATTATTCACATATTTTTCATATCAGTATAACTTGTAATGTAATCTATCATTTGTATTCTGATACAGTAGTTGTAAATTGATGTGTTGTATTGTAAAGCTTTGTATTGCCAAATCGTTACAACACTTCTAATCATCATGATCAATAATATTGTTGAATCTAAAATTGTACATTGTCAGCTATATTCTCAAATGATTGTAGATGCATACAAGGTACCATATTGCCCAATCTCTGATCATTATCAATCGGTTCCCAATTGAGCAGATAGATGCTCATGTTGTTGATCACTGGATTGTCTGGCCCAGACTCGATTATTTACAGACCTCCGTCGCATAGCTGGAATATTGCTAAGTGTGGCGTAAAACTAAACTCACTTACTCTCTGATCATTATCAACACTGATCATAGTAACCATGGTAACAGAAAATAATATACCATTTTTAAGAGTAAAAACTAATGAAGTTGATATGGAGGACAAATAAGGAAAAAAATGAACAATTTCCTGGTAATACTGATAACTGCCAATTATTTTGGAACTGATTTCTGGTTCAGGAACGAATGTTGACTATATGAAGCCTCAATCCTTGTTAGCAACAGGCAATGGTTTCTGGACAATTAGAAGTCATTATCTATGTTATTGGCATGTAGATGATGTGTGTAAGAATTTACATTCACATTTTGAGTGAGGACCAAACTGTATGAACATTGGAGCATCTGATGACATTTGTACAAGGTGGTTGGTCCTAGATCTGTGAAGGTTTGTGTGCATGAATTCACGTAAAGTGAAAGCCAATTTATGTTTGTTTGTTGTTGTTTTTTATTCATTCAAAATCAGTAGATACAAATATACAAAGTACATGATGTAACAGAACTTGTACACAATAAAACAGAAATTCATATGGGTTGGCATTACACATATTGGAATCTTCATTAAGCTGGGAATGTGTGCAGTAGAGATGACCATTTTCTGCCAAATTGTAATATGTTTTGAATTTTATTGGCAATTAACTTTTCTGTCTTGAAAATATCACTCAATATTTTTACAAATGTATCCAGTGATAACTTATTTTTTTTTAATACTTGATACATGGATGTATTTTTTACTGGCAAGAAGTATGTGGTTCATAAGGTCGTCCGCCAATTAAGACTGTATATTTTGTCAGGTTAAAATTTTCTGATGATTTATAATATTTTCCTTCAGTTTCAACCAGAACGTTTTCACACATTCACATTCACAATAAACATGTATCAAATTTTCTGACATTAAATTATAAAATGAGCAAAGTTCATCATCTACTAATTTCATTCTCAATAATTCTTTTCTTTGTGTAGACAATATTGTTGATAAATTTAAACTGGAAGTCAATCAATTTAGTATCTTTTGTACATCTTCTATAGTTTTTAAAAATATCTTGCCATATTTTGCAATATGAAAGATATTTTGCCATTTTTCACATGTTGTAGGTAGGTTTTCAGTACACGTACTTATAAGTTTACCATAGAAATATCTGGATCTCTTTGGTGCTGAAAGCCAATTTTTACAATAATTTGTATCTCAAATGATGTATACACAATTTCATTATGTAAATGAGCCTTATTTTGACATTTACAATCAACTATCTATTTCACAAAACAAATATATTTCTCAGTAAAGTACAGATTCTAGTACTTTTGTTGGGTTGAGTCCCATCCGGGATTTGAACCCACACCCTCAGAGTCAGTCACCCAACAAAAGTACTAGAAAATGTACTTTACTGAGAACGTGTAATCCCAAGTATAACATGTTACATTTGAGCACTTTCTAAATGTCATTGTGTATTCACAAATGTATTGCCCTAATACCAGAGATTACACGTGTGCATTTCTGCTATGAATACTCTCGGTAAAATCCTTTGTAGTTGTGGCAGTGTTCACGAATAGCATCTGACCCTCTGACAAATCTGGCAGATTCGCCACGGTCAGACAGAAGTCTACAACCCGCCAGCCCCAGTGTCTGACCCTATATTTCACAATGACTTTGACTGAAGTTGTTATATATGACATGTGTCACTTGTTTGCTGTTTATAAATCTTATGTTTGTTTATAATTTCAATGCCAATTATAAGAAATGTTAAATCTAAAATGTGTGTTTAATTTTATTCTATGGGTCCTGTGAATTTCTAATGGGTCAGACAGACATCTGAAACTTACAGGACCCAATGTCCTGTTACTTTGAGACACAATTCGTGAACACTGTTGTGGACATGTAGATTTATCATTAGATAAGAAATATCTGTTGAGATATAGAACATCACGTCAGTCACAGTGACAGTTGTAATGCATTTACTTCACATGCAGGAAGTCAAAACGTCTGACATATGAACATAATGAAGGGGGGGATATCTGAAGTCGGCAGTGTAGCTGTGGTGATTAGTCATTACTGATCGTTTAGCTGATCACTCAGTGGTGATCTTGAAGATGAACTGAATAGATACTGAAGTAAGTTAATAGATTGGTGTAGAACGTTGTGACTATCACTGCCTGTCTAGACAGAACGAATATATATGCATATGATACAGTTGGCCGTGCATTTTCTTTCTTTCGGTCACATGATCATAGCAAGAATTTTCAATTTTGGACATGCAGTCAATGACATTTTGCATTTGATACAAAAATGCTTAGTTTAAGATTTAAGTATCTTAATGATCAGAAGTAAAACTTATGTATTTATTTATGAAGGAAAATTTTGAGGGTTTTGACCAAGAATGTGGAGGTAGTTTATATGTGTTCATGTATTTTCAAAATACTGCTGGATGCATTTTCCCCTATTTACAACCTGCACTGGTGCATGTTAACAATGGCTGGTGCAGGTTACCTTGAGTAACAGGTTGCATCTGGTGCAGGTAACAGTAAATCCTCCAACATCTAACAGCTGTCATTGTGTGTTTTTATTGGGAAGTAAGTGACTGGAAGTATGTTTCTCTCCGCGTGACTGGTTACAGCATTAACATTTGTGTTCTCATGAATCAGTTACATAGCAATTGAGATGTATAAATATAGGGGTCATGTTCTGTTGAATGTATCTGATACTGTGTACTTGTTACTTGCGAAACAAGTGTGTATGTTATTTTTAGAACCAGTGAACACAGCTTACCAAATTGAATCAGAACACAGCTTACCAAATTGCGAAAGTTAACATTCGCACATACTGCTTGAACCTTTACCTAAAAAAACCTCGAACGATTCCGAGTGATACACGCAATGAGTAAACAGTCGCTGAAAATAGCGTTTTTGTCAGTATTCAAGGAAGTCATCTTGCGAAAATATAAGCAAATAGTAACCATGTCATTAGAAATCCATAAGCAAATATACTGCAGGTCAAATATCTGTGTTTTATGCAGATTTTCGATAGTTGATAGATCAGTGTCAGCGACCAGGGAAGAGAAAATCCAAAAACCGTTTTGTAAGTCCCGCCGAACCCTAACAAGTAGTCGTTGTCTGATTAGTTAAATCCGTTCAGCCGTCTCAAGTTTGATTGGACGGTTATAGGTCGCTCACAGGTTAGCTGATGCGACCTTCTACTAGGTTTTGTAGACTCAGTATAGCAGTGTAACGAATAATACTGAGCCTAAGTTTACTTAAACTGAGGTGAAGGACACTAGGAACGAGGCAAGTAGACCATTGGCAAATGTACTGTTTCATCTGGTAGCCTATGTCTTCAAATGCCCCAAGTATGAAAATAAAAGGTGTCACATTAACCAACATTGTTAAGAGAAATTGAAGAAGAAAAGAAACTCATCTTGTTCAATTTGCCACATCATGATTGTATAGATATTGTATTATATCCGGGTATGGATGACTTAGCTGCTTAGGCTTGCGATTAACTTTGCCAAGTTGTGTACCTTAGGATTGCCAGGATCCAGTGATTTGTGGGTGTGAGTCATGGTTCTCCTTGAATATGTTTCTAAGTTTGTCTGTGCCAGATCTGAGCTTCCTGGTTTTTGCACAACTTAAAAATGTCTGGGATGTGCATCACTAAGGCGTTTTCAACCATATCACACTGGCACTCTGATATGTAACTTGGATACTGGTCGAAGCAGTATTTAGCTCACTTATTTCCAAGTGTTGGGTAATATGAATATGGGCTTTTCTATATCTTTTACCCTGTTTTAAAAATGCTAGTTTTACCTGTTTTCATCATCCCTGAAATCTAATTATAGTTTTAGCAAGTGGGTTTACACCTGTCTTGTTTTAATTTGACATTTTGTTTGAAGTAGTTGTGAATTTGATGTCTCTCTAATACATGATAGAACTTGCTCTGACAGATGACAGGGTGGTTTGATTCAGAATCAGAGAACATGTTTACCAGTCACCATTGTGTCCTTGCAGTTTGATGCAGTAGAGGAATTCAAACTCATAAATACATTTACCCCGTAAAGCAAGTGTGTGTATTTTTGCAGTGGAAGCTGTGGTGGACTTTGCCTATGAGGCTGAGCAGGAAGATGAACTGACCTTGAAGATTGGGGATATCATCAAGAATGTCATACAAAGTGATGGCGGCTGGTGGGAGGGGGAACTCAATGGCAAGAAGGGCATGTTCCCAGAGAACTTTGTGAAGGTAAGGCTGAAAAATGGATGTCAGTGAGTTAGCGTGGCAAGATGGTAATGTTCTCAAAGCAAGTTTTAGCTCATTTGACCGACAGGGACAAAGCTTGGAGCCGATGAAGCTGACACCTTGCTTGGATCTTGTTCTGGTGATGACACTTCACGTCAATTTGATGATATGACAAACGAGGCCATATTTAAAAATTTTAATTTGTTACATGCATATATAGTAGTGGGGCACAACATGTATGTCTTGTTTTGTTGGGTGATATTTTGTGTTTTGGCCTTGTGTTGACCATGCTTGTAAATGCTCTAAGGTGTATTAGCCTGCAGAAGTTCAACTGTGTGTTAAGTGCTCTTGTGTTATAATAGTTCACAGCAAAATCTGTTTTCTTTATTACAGTGTAATTTGTTTTTTAAGATGCTAAATTTAATACTTAGAAACAATGAATCTAAGGCACAAGACAAATAAAAAAACAATATTGTCCGTGACCTCAATTAACAATGCTCGTTCAGGGCTGACCAGCTGTTCTATTCATGTGCCTTCCCTTCCTTAAGATACATGTTGCCAATAAAACAAATGATAAACAGCATTTTATATGGTAGGTCGTGTATTTGGAACCACATAAGGTAAATATTAAGATGTCAAACAGCATGGTCAGTCATTTTGTTGTCATCAGGGAAAGGGCTACTTGGCAGCTAGCTTCAGGGTAAAATGACTTCAATGTTTTCGAAATTTGGATGAAAAAAGTGTTTGATCAGGAATTTTTTGAGTGGTACAAGGTGGTCAGCTTCTTTTGTTTTAAATTTTGACACTCGTGAAAATAGGTGAGGTGAGGTGAAATTGGGTTTTACGTCGTGCTTGAGAATATTTCGCTCATATGACGACGTGCATGCGTGTGTATGTGTTTGTGCGGCTGCTTGTACTAGCCCAGACTGAAGCTGGTTTTATAGTGCTAGCCCACTGAGATACCATGCCGCAGTGAAGCATGAATACCCCACTCAGACACATTATCCTGACTCCGAGCCGACCAGTCCTTGTTGTACCCATTAATGCCGAGCGCCAGGCAGGGACCAACAAGTACCATATTTTAACGTCTTTTGGTATGACGCGGTCGGGGATCTAACCCGCGACCTTCCGCTCTCCGGGCGGACGCTCTCACCACCACACCACGGAGGCGGTCCTTGTGAAAATGAAAAAAAAAATGGTTTGTCATTTCAGTTGCTGAAACCAGAGGACAAAGGCAAATCTCCAGGTATTGGAAAGAAGGAAGCTCCGGAGCGCAAGTCTGTTCGAGAATTAGCCAGCAAATTCAAAGACAACATGCCTCTTGGACCACTACCACCCAAGAAGAAAGGTTTGGAGGAATTCATTTACATTTTGAAAAATATGCTTTTAACTTTTAAAAGGTAGATTGGTCTAAATGTGGGACTGTCAACCAATATTGTACATGCATTGTTCAGATGAAATTTCAGTTGTGTTTTGTTACTATTTTGTCAGTTGTTTTTAGATATGCTTCACAATTTCTCAAAGGTTAAGTGAATATAACAATGGCATGTCTGGGTAGCTTGGTGAGTGAGGCTGAATGTGTGTGTTTGATTCCCTGGGTACAGTGGGCCCACTCTTGATATGCTTAAGTTGAATTTCTTTCAGTCTGCTAAGATATTGTTCATATGCTTCATCTTTGGAAACTCTTAGTTAATACTAATAGTTATTCATCCATTTCGGGATAGTTCATGTATCAGTGGTGCCTTGAGCTAGACCTTTTTGCTTTACCATGTTTTCTGGCATACATCTTACATACACACCATCATTGTCTATGTAATCTTCTTCAGATAAGAAAAAGAAATGCAAGGTAATGTTTGATTACACACCAGAGAATGAAGATGAACTGGAGCTCAAGGAGGGAGAAATCATTGACTTCGTAAGAGAGGTAAGGGAGGCCATAACAAGGACATTTTCCAGGAGTTAAGATTGACTTTGTATGGGAAGTAAAGTTGACTTTTTATAGGAGATATTATTGACTTTGTATAGGAAGTAAAGTTGACTTTGTATGGGAGATATTATTGACTTTGTATAGGAGATATTATTGACTTTGTATAGGAGATATTGTTGACTTTGTATGGGAGATATTGTTGACTTTGTTTGGGAGATATTATTGACTTTGTATAGGAGATATTGTTGACTTTGTATTGGAAGTAAAGTTGACTTTGTATGGGAGATATTATTGACTTTGTATAGGAGATATTGTTGACTTTGTATAGGAGATATTGTTGACTTTGTATAGGAGATATTGTTGACTTTGTATGGGAGATATTATTGACTTTGTACTTTGTATGGGAGATATTGTTGACTTTTATATGAGATATTGTTGACTTGTATGGGAGATATTATTGACTTTGTATGGGAGATATTATTGACTTTGTATGGGGAGATATTGTTGACTTTGTTGATTGGAGATATTATTGACTTTGTATGGGAGATATTGTTATCTTTGACTTATGGGAGATATTATTGACTTTGTATAGGAGATATTGTTGACTTTGTATGGGAGATATTATTGACTTTGTATGGGAGATATTATTGACTTTGTATATGAGATATTATTGACTTTGTATAGGAGATATTATTGACTTTGTATGGGAGATATTGTTGACTTTGTATAGGAGATATTGTTGACTTTGTATAGGAGATATTATTGACTTTGTATAGGAGATATTATTGACTTTGTATGGGAGATATTATTGACTTTGTATAGGAGATATTGTTGACTTTGTATTATTGACTTTATGGGAGATATTGTTGACTTTGTATGGAGATATTATTGACTTTGTATTGGAGATATTGTTGACTTTGTATGGGAGATATTGTTGACTTTGTTGTATGGGAGATATTATTGACTTTGTATAGGAGATATTGTTTATGTATGGGAGATATTTTGACTTTGTATGGGAGATATTATTGACTTTGTATAGGAGATATTATTGACTTTGTATGGGAGATAGAGACTTTGTATTATTGACTTTGTATGGGAGATATTATTGACTTTGTATTATTGACTTGTATGGGAGATATTGTTGACTTTGTATGGGAGATATTATTGACTTTGTATGGGAGATATTGTTGACTTGTTGACTTTGTATGGGAGATATTGTTGACTTTGTATGGGAGATATTGTTGACTTTGTATGGGAGATATTATTGGACTTTGTATGGGAGATATTATTGACTTTGTATGGGAGATATTATTGACTTTGTATAAGAGATATTGTTGACTTTGTATAGGAGATATTATTGACTTTGTATGGGAGATATTATTGACTTTGTATAGGAGATATTATTGACTTTGTATGGGAGATATTATTGACTTTGTTCATGTACATGAGGTAGGAAAGCTGTTTTCATTGTTCTGTGGGGGTTAAAAACCCTCGTCCTGATTTCCAGGAATTGGGTTTCTCTGTGGTTCTACTGCTTGCTTGTATAAAAGAATAAATCGGTTTAATATCTCAATTGACACCACATGAAAAAATCTGTTCGAGAATTAGCCAGCAAATTCAAAGCCTCTTGGACCACTACCACCCAAAACAAATTCTTAGTGATAGGTCAAGAAGGTTTAAAACAACAGTTACAGGAGACTTACACTGACTGCTTGTGTCCCTGAAGGTAGAGGATGGTTGGTGGGAGGGCAGCTACAATGGCCGCAGTGGTGTGTTCCCGTCCAACTTTGTGGAAATGTGTGAGGAGCAGCCAGACGATGTAGGGCAGCCGGACGTCCCAGACAAACCTGGTGGGATCGGTAAGTTGATACATGGTACAGAACCAGATGTTCCTAATGTGATAAGTGTGTATTACTGGTAAGTACATGGACTACAGTTTGTGTGTAAAGACATGCAATCTCATGAAGGTATCTGTGCACATGTACTCAGCTTTCTTCTAAGATCAGAGAAGGTCGCGGGTTTGATCCCCGGCCGTGTCATACCAAAAGACGTTAAAATATGGTACTTGTTGGTCCCTGCCTGGTGCTCGGCATTAATGGGTAAACAAGGATTGGTCGGCTCGGAGTCAGTATAATGTGTCTGAGTGGGATATTCATGCTTCACTGCGGCATGGTATCTCAGTGGGCTAGCACTATAAAACCAGCTTAAGTCTGGGCTAGTACAAGCAGCCTCACATACACATACACACGCATGCACGTCGTCATATTGACTGTGGGATAGACATTTCAACAGTAGAAATTGCATAGCCAGTGGGAAGTGCTGGCTAACAATCTTGGCCATCTATGTGACACTCCAGAATGTTCTTTTTATAGTTGTCAATATTTGATTTAGAACTGAATAAAGGAGACTATAATGAAAGCATAGCCGGTACTGGAAGTTGCATTATGACGAGCTATCCTCTTACTCATATCATTGGCCACTCACAGCTCACCGACCACCTCCGTGGTGTAGTGGTTAGAGCGTCCGCCCGAAAAGCGGAAGGTCACGGGTTAGATCCCTCACCGCGTCATACCAAAAGACGTTAAAATATGGTACTTGTTGGTCCCTGCCTGGCGTTCGGCATTAATGGGTACAACAAGGACTGGTCGGCTTGGTGTCAATATAATGTGTCTGAGTGGGGTATTCATGCTTCACTGCGGCATGGTATCTCAGTGGGCTAGCACTATTAAACCAGCTTAAGTCTGGGCTAGTACAAGCAGCCGCACATACACATACACATGCATGCACGTCATCATATGCGAGATGTTCTGTGGGGATTATATGATCTTCTGTGGGTGTTATATGATCTTCTGTGGGGTGTTATATGATGTATCGGTAGGAGAGCAAACTCGAAACAAACACCACGCACGTCTATTCAACAGAACGACAGCATGAAAAGTGAGGTACGAAGTAGACGGCGAGAGTTACCTGCTCTTGGCTGTAGGGGGTCCGGTGGGTCCCTGTAGGGGTGGTCTCACAAGACAAAACGAGTTTTTTTGTTTTGTAAATATTTTATTGAAAAATATAGTTACAACTGTTGTAATATTTTAAATATTTAACTAATCCTGCACTACTTACTTCCTGCACTTATTGCTTACGACTCGAAACGTGGCTGTGCCAGACGATTGATGTTGAAAGCGTAGACTGTGATCACTTCCTGGTCTCGGGTAAACATCTGTCTGCGCACGCATCACCGGAAGGTGACGTCAGCCGCCTCAGATTATTGCTTTTCGCACGCCTCGCAAGACGTGTGGTTTGCCAGCTCGACTGTTTTGTATCCTATGAATTTGTGTTTATTGATAATAAACTGTCTTTTGGGTATTTTCCTTTGTTCTTCAGAGAGTGTAGGTATTACCTTTCTGTTTCGTTTTTCGTAGTACTGTTGTAGTGATGGTGTTTGTGATAAACACGGTAGTTTCATCACTATTATCGGTCACTTCGCCATTCAGAACACGTGGCTTCGATGTATTCGTAGTGGCTTGTTCTTGGCTCATGCTTATATGTTATACTATCACTGTATATTATTATTAAGCCTTAATTCTGGTCTCCAGTTTATGTCAGTATTTTGTGAGACGTTGTTCTCATTTATGCTGTTCTACCCCGTTACTATTATATTGTTTCACCGTGTGTTCCCCATTACTACTGTAATGTTTTTCACCGTGTGTTTGCTGGGGTTTTTCTGCTATGTTGCAGTTTTTATACGGCACACGCTGTATAGTTTGTAAGTCGGGGTATCTCATAAGTGCCTTCATTCATACTGTTTGAATTGCACTTTTCCGTGTTTTCCCCCGTTTTTCACACAAGTAATGTGCTAGTTGCGCTTCCTTAATTAATATAACACCTTTTTATTGAAGCGCCAGGTCCAACACCGACGTCGCCTGTGACAAGCATCCAGATACTTGCCACAACACTGATGTCCTCTAGCTCTAGGGCGTCTGGCGCTCCGTCTCCTTTCTCCAGGTTGCTGTTTCCAGCGTGTCCTTGGCAGACGTCTTACTCCTGACGCCTCAGATGCATGCGCCGTGCACTCAGCAGTCACTTGATGTTTCGATCTCCCATTTGACATGACCTAGTTGGCAGGGCAGTCTCGTACAACAGCGCCTCTGCTGTTCATCACTGCAGCGCCTATACGGCGCTTCTACCACATCGACTACGACCTTGGCGTTCTGCAGTCGGTGTTAGCGCCTCCGTCGCAACACCAACCTGTTCCAGCGTCGTTCCTGTCTACAGGGAATGTATGATGCATCTACCTGATCCAGCGCCTGTACGGAGCTTGTAAAGCCAGCGCCAGCGCTTGTATTACACCTATAACAGCGCCTGTCCGGCGTTTCTACCAGATTCAGCGCTTGTATGGCATTTATATAACCATACTCACTTGCTCACTCCAGCGTCTGTCCGGTGTTTTTCTACCAGATCCAGCGCCTGTACGGCGCCTATAAAAACAATCCTTACTCTCTCCAGCGCCTGTCCGGCGTTTCTACCAGATCCAGCGCTTGTATGGCGCCTACAACTCCATACTCACTCACTCACTCACTGAGGCGTCTGTCCAGCGTTTCTACCAGATCCAGCACCTGTACGGCGCCTATCATACCATCCTCACTCACTCAAACGCCTGTCCGGTTTTTATACCAGATACAGTGTTCTACCAGATCCAGCGCCTGTACGGCGGCTCTACTTGATCTAGCGCCTATAACATCATAGTGAGTGGCCTATAAAATCATACTCACTCACTCCAGCGCCTATACCAGATTGAGTATCTACATGAAGTAACATACTGCGTCAGCGCCTCCACATCTTCAATAGTTCGGCAGCTGTTGGTTGCGCCACTGTCTCCGCTGACCTCTACGTCGGCAGACGGACACATCTTGCCCTCGAAGACTTCAACTAATATGGTACCTATACCGGGCGTGGCGTCTTCACACTCCCTTGTCTTGAATTCATCAATAGGGCAGCCCAGGTGGATGAGGAAATTAAGCGCGTGACAGTGTTTCTTCTTACAAGGCACGAGGCTCAAGGGATGACGGCCCTTGATTTGGAATCCACACGGATGCTCCTTCCTATCTCAACTTAGCTTCGGCTATTAACACTGTCTCTGAAGACCTGACAGAGATGAATCCGTACAGGATCGTCACCTTTCTTCTATATGCATGATGGCTTGGCAGTGAATTGTCCTCATTATCCTTGGCGAACACTTACAGGCAGTTCTCGCCAACACAGGTGTTATTTGAGGTCCAGGATTTTCCGGTTAGGATTCAAAGCTTCCAAGGAATCTATTTCACCAATCCTAGTCCTCGACTGCCATCTTTAATAATGAGTTCAAGGACGTCTATCGAACAGTGTGTGATTTTTCTCACAGGGAGATAGCGTTGACGGCCTTCAAGCAAGTCAAATATCCCTCATCACATGAATCCATGTCAGTACCTACTATAGCCTCGACGCCACACTGTTAGGTGGGCTTGGAATCAGGCGCCGGTGCGTGGTAGGAGACGTGGTGACAAGTCTCACATCAACAAGAGAGGATATGAACGTAGCTGCGTCCCCTTCAAGAGTGACGGAAGCTGTGGCAAAAAACAACAAAAAACAACAAAAGTTCAAGATCCACATGACTGGACACTCCCTCATCCACTTGGCCCTTGTATTATCCAAACACTTGTACATTGATGACGAGTGCTTTCTGACGTAATTGGTTATTTCTTGGGTGTCCATACGTCACAACATATGGACACATGGGTTCCGGCTCTTCATAGTTTTGCCTCAACGATGTGCCGGGTTCCAAGGTTTACCTTCGACCGGGAGTACCTGCTTAGCGCAGCAACAGTGATAATTTGCTGATTTCACGTGGGCTGTCCGCCATATTGCATACTTTGCATGTGTCCACCCAGGAATGACAGGCGGACGTTCGTCAACGTGTCGGCCTCCTGCCTCACTTACCTCAGTTTTTCTTCCTTTTAGTGGACTCGCCCTTAGATGTCATAGGTGGAGTTACCTTGACTGAGCGAGTTCCGAACTACATACGTTTTAGTCGGCGCCTCCATGCAGAATTGAGGCGCCCATGCGCTTACCAGATCTGATAACCTCAGGTTTTCGGCCGTGAGATCAATAAGCAGTTTGGAGCTCAAGGCAGTGTTCCTCGCCATCCGTCACTGGGCGCAATAGCACACGGGCAACACGATTGTTGTGGAGCTTAACGAGAGTTTGACCGGTTTACTGTTTCCAGATGTTCCGTCTGTTTCCAGTAATAGCTGACACCCATTTCCATCTGAGCACTCAGCTTATTCCTGGGTGTACATCTTAGCGGACGCTATATTGGGATCTGACAGAGTCGCTTTCATAGAATGAATGCTACACAAAGAGCTACCAGTTTATGTGTCTCCGTCTCCGAATGGTCAGCCTGGACAGTGGGTGGCTTCAGTCTTTCCTGGGGGCGCTATACAAAGTACGTTTCCTCCGGTCTTGCTTCCAAATGTTTTAGTCACAATCAAGACTTAAAAACTTGACTTCGACTAAATTTAGTTGGTCCCAGATGACCAACCAGAGGTTGGTTTCAAGCGTCAAGAGCTCCTCTTCAACTAGCCAGATGTGGAAACATCCCAGTGCATCCTCATCCCACGCCAGAACGGTTCAATTAACACACTGCATCTTCAGGCGCGATTCTGCGCCAATTGCTTTTCAGCCAGAGCATTGTTACTGCTTTGCTAATGAACATTGGACTTCCATTAGGCACATGTATAATGAGGGGCAGTCGTTCGGGCAGTTGTGTTGCCGTGAAGCAGGATCCGCTGAATGTATCCCCCCTGTTTTAGCAGTCTCCCTGCTGTATTTGTACAGGGAAGGCGTTTCAAGAGGGGCATGGTTGCCTCTTCTGTTAGTGGCAATTCCCTTCGTTTTGGCAGTCCCCATTGACAGGAGCTACCGTCCATGCTTCGCTTGTTTAGCGCCTGTGTACCCAGGCTGCAGTTTTGTCCACCCGCCAGGAATCTTAACACGGTCTTGGACCGCCACCGCGTTGTGTCTTGCAAGCCACTCACGAACACTTCCCTTGCAGACTTGCACAGCGATAGCGACAAGGGTCATGCGCTTGGTGTTAATTGGGTCCAGTTTGAACGACACCGTCATGGTTCTGTGAGTCTGGGTATTTGATTGGGATTTCATCACTATTACCCATGGCAGTTGCCAGCACGAAATGATCGATAGTTCTCTCTTTCGCCTTTATCGTCTGTTGTCGGCGTTGACGACGTTCCTGTGTTACTTTTGTGTTCAGCTGATGTACTCAGTTTGTACATTAAGCGAACCCAAGTTGTCAGAGACATGTGAGCAAAACCATGAGTGTTTCGTGGATACGGACTACCATTATTCATGCGTATAATGTGGCTGGTCTGGTTTCCCCTCATCTACGCCATCCTCATGTACTTCGTACACTTGCCTGGACTATGGCACTTCACAGTAACTGTACAGTGGCATTGATAATGCATGAGTGTTTCTAGATGTCGGACACAGTATTCGCCAATCAGTATCCACACCACATGTGTCCAACGCTTCGGACCATTGGTGCCAGACCAGCACCTCTCCAATCCCCGACGGATATCACCTCATTGTTGTTCGCCACAAAGAACGACGATGTCATGTGGGGAATGAGTTGTTTTGAGAAAACAACTGGGTGTGTCAGTTAAGGAGTCACACTTGAATAGATTCAAGTCCATGCTTTTTACTGCATTCCCTCTTTTCCATTTAAGCGTACATGGCTTACATGCGAATTGCCACTGAGATATAATCCCTCTCTGCCGACCATTCTTCCCGATATCCTTCATGATATTTCTTCCCATGAAGCACGATGAAGCTGTGTGGGAAAAGAGTTGTTCAGAGGGAAACAACTGGGTATGTCACTTAAGGAGTAACACTTGGAAAAACTCAAGTCAATACTTTTTACTGCATTTCCCTATAGCTAATAACGCTTTAAAAATCGTGTGGCCGTTTCCATTTAAGCGTACATGGCTTATATGTGAATGACCACTGAGATGTAATCCCTCTCTGTCGACCAGTCTTCCAGATTCCACGATCGAAGGTGTCTTCGTTCATGATATTCTTCCCACGAGGCATGATGTTGCCATGTGGGAAAAGAGTTGTTCCGAGGGAAACAACTGGGTGTGTCAGTTAAGGAGCAACACTTCGAAAACTCAAGTCACTGCTTTTTACTGCATTCCCTAAAGCTAATCTCGCTTTAAAAAATCGCGTGGTCTTTTTCATTGAAGCCTACATGTCTTCTATTAGTCCAGGAGGAGAATCTCAAAAGGGGCCTAGAAATAGGATTTCGTAGCCTCCCCAGTACTGATTTTGTTTGACACTATTTTCAGTTAGTATGATGTCTTGGGCTCATGAAAAGGCCTGTAATACTCTCAGATTGTGGTATCAGTTTTTTTACAGGCCATTATATGTGGTGGGGGTTTGCGAGCATTTTCGTCACATTTGGTTTGCTGCCCGACAACACCTCAAAGTTAATCATTAATAGTTTTACTACTATCAATCTGATCACTTTCAATTTGACTTCTGTGTACTGCTAAAGGATGTAGAAATTATTTGACATCATTTTGTTTTGAAAACAAAATCAAAATGGCCGCCATCTTGGCCGCCATTTTGTTTTGTAGATGTTTTGCCTTTTCAGCACTTAAATCTACATAAAAATGAACACCGAATGTTTCCATTTACATCCAAAGTTGATACTTTTGATGTGTTTTGACACTTGTTTCTCCTAGAGTGATGGCTTGGGCACAAAACAAGTCATTTTGTATGGTCATATCGTGGTAATTTAATGTTTTACAGCTTATTCTTTGAGACAGGGGTATTTTTGCAATTCTCCGACTTTTCATGGAAATGTGTGTGAGTGATTTATTTAATGGCAGTTGACATTAGTTTTGTTACTAAAACAAGTTGTTTTGTTTCTCTTTACTTCTGGAGTGACGGCATGTTATTAGGGATTTTTATATATTACCCAGAATTCAAAATGGCCGCCATTGTAGTTTAACTACATATACTTAGTGGAGGACTAAATTTGTACTGATATGAAATCCAAACAAATCATTTGGTGTCTAATGTTTAATACAGTATAGGAATAGAGCTAAATTTCAATGATAGGGTCAATCAGAGCTTCACACTCCTAAAATATTTGATGAATTAACATGATCCAAAAGTGTTTGAAAACTATGCTTCATGGCCGATAACTACGTATAAGCTTTGGTTGTAGGCTTTCAAATTGTTCTATCAGATAACTCTTAATCACATTTGATACATCCATAAGCTTGCAATTAACCCTCCTTTTCACTTTCTTTCATTTCATATGTTACTTCATGTCAGAATCGGACCTGTGAAGGTCCGGGTTAGAATTGATCTTCAATAACCCATGCTTGTCGTAAGAGGCGACAAACGGGATCTGGTTGTCAGGCTCGCTGACTGGGTTGACACATGTCATCGTATCCCAATTGCACAGATTGATGTTCATGCTGTTGATCCCTGGATTGTCTGGTCCAGACTCGATTATTTACAGACTGTCGCCATATAGCTGGAATATTGCTGAGTGCGATGTAAAACTAAACTCACTCACTCACTCATGTCAGAATCGGAGTCATCTACTGGCAACAAGTCAAAGGTGTTCGGGCAACAATCATCTGCCATACAAAAAGACATGCCTATGTGCACACTATATCATTCTATATCTATGCTCCAACTGGTGAAGGAATGTTCATGATTGGTTGCAGAGACTGTTTCCAAAATGGACTTTGTAGTTTACTCGTTCAATGTGATGTTTCAGACTGTTGGATGTTGGTGGGAGGTTTTCATTCAATATCTTGTGTCATCTACAGACATCACTGGATTATTTGGTACATGGATAGAACTCACAAACTGGCCACAAGATGTAATGAGTGTTTCTTGAACATCCAAATTGTCATCCATTTGTTGTGTGAAGCTTCTCATCCCTGGGCTTTACAGCCTTTTTGGGAATCAATGTAGAAAAGGTTTTCAGGTTCAGTCGATGTAAAGGTGACCACAAGTTTGTCCTGGAAGAGTTCAATCGACTACTTATGAAGTTATCCCATTGCTCTGCCCCAATCTGTTTAACGTGCAAGAGGATGTGAATCATATCCTTTGGGACAACAACTCCACTTCCAATGTTCACAAGCTGCAGACATCATTCATTTTGAAGATTGAATGGATTTGTCATCAACCTTGATGTGAACATGGACATTTCTAGTGTTCATTTTACAATGGCCCATTCAGATGGAACATTAAGAAAGAGCATCAAAAGCGGATTGTTAAATGAACTTTAAAGGAAGCTTTTGGTCCTTCGCTGCTTATACTAGCAGAAGAGAGAATGTTGCCAGTTCATATAGTTGATGGAATGGCAAAATTGCAAATGTTCAGAAAGGAGCTGCTTCCACATTTGGACACTTGGCTGATATGCATTGGGACAACTTCACTTCAATTCTGAATCGAACAGACTGCATTAGAGTTGATGTTGTTTGGGACAGGTATGCCAGACAAGAGTCAATCAAAGCAGGGGAGCAAATCAAAGAGGATCGCAACGGCGCTTAGAAGTCAAGATTGTTGGCAAAAACAAACCACTGCCAAGACAATGGGACAAAACCATCAGCAGTCCTGTCAACAAGTCTAGTCTTGTTGCATGTATGAACGCGATCGATGGTGTTCTGTTGGTCCAGCCATGCTACCTGTTGGTAAAGCCTGAGTCACACCGATGTAGTTCTTAGGACGCCCTGCCCTGTCCAAACAATAACTGTAAAGTGAGTAAACCGGATAGAACGTGTAACTTTTGTATAAATTACAATGCTAGTTTGATCATAAACAGTTCTCAGTACGCCTGTCTCGTCTTTACCCGTGCCCCAGAGACAGTTGTTGTTACGTTTAGAGTGGGTAAAATTGCCCGTTCACCCCGTGTGGACAACGTTTTCAAGCAGTCCAATCCGTCCATAGTCACTTTATATCCCTTCTGAACTAAACCCATCTCGTTCGTAATACGCACAACCCCGTTCTAACTCATTCTTCTAAACCAACTCATTTTCAGGCACTTCTTCCCGTTCTCACTACTTTCTCACTCCGTTTCTAGTGCGTGCAATCATAATAGCAATCACTTCCTGGTTCGATTTGTATAAATACCCTGCCCATTCTTATTCCGTTCTCAGTTTCAAGGTGGAAACATTGACATCACCATGCCTCCAAGGAAGAAGAAGGGTGAACATCTAATTTATAAAGGGGTCAATGCGTTCAAGAAGTTCATCAAACATGGGAGGGGTGATTCTCAAGAAATTGTAGAAGGACTCATGATCATCAAAGGCGGAGCTCCTCCATCAGTTGATGATAATGTCCCACAGCTATTCACCTCTCAGGTTTAAGCCAGTTCCTCACCCAACACGTTCTTGTGTTTTCCTTCTTTCTTGCACTACCAACTCATTGTACTCTTGCTCTGCTTCCGATAAAAACTGCAGGAAACCAGCATTCAATATTTTGACAGCTGCAAACTTGTTCATAGAAACTCTATCCCAAATGACGACCATGTTAAAACGCATGTGTATATGTACCCTACCTTGTCATATCGTAATGCACACAGAGTTGACATAGTAAGAACTGCATGAGAACTACATAAACATACTAACAACGAGTAGAACGTAATGAGAACCCATTGCAAACTGTTAGAACCGTGTACTACAAGCTTCTTCAGAACGATTCATTTTGTTTTGAACATATTTGCTTGGAATAGCGACTAACTAGAGTTCAGTAGAGTTCTGCAAGCGGGATGGACCAGGTTGAAACTGTACAAAGCGTATTGCAATTGATGCCGGACTGCACTACGTCTGCACACGTACCCAATAAGATTGAAGCGCCCGCGTGATTCGTTCATAGTATGGCAATTCCGTTCTTAGTATGGCAATCTCATTTTAAGTACGTTATTACTCCGTCCCATTTTAGAACGTGTAGAACGTTCGACATGGGGAATTGACTTACAGAAGTCCTCTGAAAATCACCAACAAACATTGTCACAATTGGGTGACAATTTGGATGTTCAAGAAACTCTCATTACATCTTGTGGCCAGTTTGTGAGTTCTATGTATGTACCAAATAATCCAGTGATGTCTGTAGATGACACAAGATATTGAATGAAAACCTCCCACCAACATCCAACAGTCTAAGACATCACATTGAACGAGTAAACTACAAAGTCCATTTTGGAAACAGTCTCTGCAACCAATCATGAACATTCCTTCACCAGTTGACCATGGTTGGAGCAGTTTTGTGATGGTCAGCTATTCTGATGTCGAGAGATCCTGCTCCCGATGGATTGGTTGAACTGACATCATGTAAATGCAAAAAGTCAGCATGCCAGCAGAAAGAATGATATAGTGTGCACAGAGGCATGTCTTTTTGTATGGCAGATGATTGTTGCCTGAACACCTTTGACTTTTTGCCAGTAGATGACTCCGATTCTGACATGAGTGAGTTTAGTTTTACGCACTCGGTGATATTCCAGCTATATGGCGACAGTCTGTAAATAATCGAGTCTGGACCAGACAATCCAGGGATCAACAGCATGAACATCAATCTGTGCAATTGGGATACGATGACATGTGTCAACCCAGTCAGCGAGCCTGACAACCAGATCCCGTTAATTAAGCCTCTTACGACAAGCATGGGTTATTGAAGATCAATTCTAACCCTGGACCTTCACAGGTCCGATTCTGACATGAAGTAACATATGAAATGAAAGAAAGTGAAAAGGAGGGTTAATTGCAAGCTTATGGATGTATCAAAAGTGATTAAGAGTTATCTGATAGAATAATTTGGATGCCTACAACCAAAGTTTAGACGTAGTTATCGGCCATGAAGCATAGTTTTCAAACACTTTTGGATAATGTTATTTCATCAAATATTTTAGGAGTGTGAAGCTTTGATTGACCCTATCATTGAAATTTAGCTCTATTCCTATACTGTATTAAACATTAGACACCATATGAGTTGTTTGGATTTCATATCAGTACAAATTTAGTCCTCCACTAAGTATATGTAGTTAAACTACAATGGCGGCCATTTTGGCGGCCATTTTGAATTCTGGGTAATATATAAAAATCCCTAATAACATGCCGTCACTCTAGAAGTAAAGAGAAAACAAAACAACTTGTTTAGTAACAAAACTAATGTCAACTGCCATTGAATAAATCACTCACACACATTTCCATGAAAAGTCGGAGAATTGCAAAAATACCCCTGTCTCAAAGAATAAGCTGTAAAACATTAAATTACCACGATATGACCATACAAAATGACTTGTTTTGTGCCCAAGCCATCACTCTAGGAGAAACAAGTGTCAAAACACATCAAAAGTATCAACTTTGGATGTAAATGGAAACATTCGGTGTTCATTTTTATGTAGATTTAAGTGCTGAAAAGGCAAAACACGACAAAACAAAATGGCGGCCAAAATGGCGGCCATTTTGATTTTGTTTTCAAAACAAAATGATGTCAAATAATTTCTACATCCTTTAGCAGTACACAGAAGTCAAATTGAAAGTGATCAGATTGATAGTAGTAAAACTATTAATGATTAACTTTGAGGTGTTGTCGGGCAGCAAACCAAATGTGACGAAAATGCTCGCAGACCCCCACCACATATAATGGCCTGTAAAAAAAACCTGATACCACAATCTGAGAGTATTACAGGCCTTTTCATGAGCCCAAGGCATCATACTAACTGAAAATAGTGTCAAACAAAATCAGTACTGGGGAGGCTACGAAATCCTATTTCTAGGCCCCTTTTGAGATTCTCCTCCTGGACTAATAGAAGACATGTAGGCTTCAATGAAAAAGACCACGCGATTTTTTAAAGCGAGATTAGCTTTAGGGAATGCAGTAAAAAGCAGTGACTTGAGTTTTCGAAGTGTTGCTCCTTAACTGACACACCCAGTTGTTTCCCTCGGAACAACTCTTTTCCCACATGGGGAGGCTACGATTTGAAAATTTTCAGCTGCCTCCTCCTGGACTATATGCGAATTACCACTAAGAGATAGTCACTGTCTGTTGACAATTCTGCCAGGTGCAACAAAGATACCTTCCACCTATGCTTTTTCTTCCCATTAAGCACGCCGACGAAGTATGGGAAAAGAGTTGTTCCAGGAGAACAACTGGGTGTGTCAGTTACGGAGTAACGCTTGGGTTAATCTGAGTCACTGCTTTTTACTACATTTCCCCAAAGCTAATAAGGCTTTAAAAATCGTCTGGTATATTCCATTTAAGACTACGTGTCTTATATGCGTATTACCACTGCCTGATCGTCCCTCGCTGTCCGATCTAGGTGCAACAACGGTTTTCCACCACCGAGGCGCACTTGATAACATTGACCGAGCTGTCTTTGTTTACCTTGTGAGGCGATCCCCACAGATGACACGCCCTCCATCCTGCCTGTCCGATAAATGTGCAGGAAGTAAGTAGTGCAGGATTAGTTAAAAATTTAGTAAAATCTAAATATTTTTTATATTTGTATACTTATCCTGCACTACTTATGATAAGGGCCCACCCTGCGCTTTAAGCTACCTCCCCTCTTTGTTTTCATCTGTGGGATTTACGGCAATAATCAGAGGTGGCTGACCTCACCTTCCGGTGATGCGTGCGCAGACGGATGTTTACCCGAGACCAGGAAGTGATCACAGTCTACACTTTCAACATCAATCGTCTGGCACAGCCACGTTTCGAGTCGTAAGCAATAAGTGCAGGAAGTAAGTTGTGCAGGATAAGTATACAAATATAAAAAATATTTAGATTTTACTAAAATGGACATTTAAATGCTTATATGTACCCCAAGGAGGACTTTCTTCAAAGAATTCATAACCTCTACAGGTTTGTATAATTCTGTAGGGATTATATGATGTTCTGTGTGTTATATGATGTTCTGTTGGTTTATATGATGTTCTTTATGGATTATATGATGTTCTGTATAGGATATACTCTGACAACCCTGTAGATTTTGGGATGTCAGTAATATGATTTGCCTGATTTGTTGTTCTGTATCAGGTTCTGGGGATGAGTCATCTGGCAGTGTTCATGAAATAAAGGGAAAAAAGGTGATTGGGATAGGACTGGGGAACATCTTCCAGGGTGGCCCAATCAAACTCCGCTCTGCTCCCAAAACCAAAGAAGCACCTCCCGTGGAGACCAAAAAACACCCTGAAGTAAAGGTGAAGAAACACACTCTCTTCTATGCTTTCATTGCATTATGAAGCTTGTGCAGCTCATATGTAATTAATCCATTTCTTTTTACAATCATTTGTTTTGTATCAGCCTTGTTAGTAGTAGCAGCTTTTCATTTCAAGACATTCAAGGTTTCTGCAAAAGATTTGGTCTGGTAGAACACAGTGTGTCTGATTCAAGCAATTTGCAATGGATGAGAGTACTTTAGGAAACCATTCTTTTGTTCATATTGTATGTAAACACTTGTCCAGCTTTGTGGACTGGTCAACCATATGGTTACTAATCTTCAGGAGCAGGCCAAACCACCACCACACCAGGAGCCAGCCCGACCTCCCATGGAGCCAGTCCGACCTCCCATGGAGCCAGTCCGGCCACCCCCTCCTGAACCCACCAAGGCCCCCGTAGCTGAACCTGTTACAACTGAGGTGGTCAAGAGAGAGAAGAAAGGTAGGGCTTAATGAACAGGATTTGTCCCTAGAATCTGTGTAATTGTATGTTGCTTATGTTGTCGTGTCTTTGGCGAGTTACAAATATGCAGACACGTTTATGGATATAATGAGGTGTGTTGCCGTGATATCCTTCATGTGTTATTGTGATGGCCTCATGTTTTGGGTATGTGGCTGGTAGGATGCTCGGACATGTTTCATACACTGTCGACAATATCATTCCTTAAAATGATATATCTCTGTTTTTTTGTATGACAGATATTGCCCAAATTCCTTTCAATGCATTTCCAGTAAGTTTTACTGCATGATGTGATAGATTTCAAGTAGGTGGCCATGAGCATGATATATTTCCAGTAGGCAGCCCTGAGTGTGATATATTTCCAGTTGGCGACCCTAAGTGGATATATGTTCAGTAGGCAGTCCTGAGTGTGATATATTTCCAGTAGGTAGCCCTGAGTGTGATATATTTCCAGTAGGCAGTCCTGAGTGTGATATATTTCCAGTAGGCAGTCCTGAGTGTGATATATTTCCAGTAGGCGGCCCTTACTGGATATGTGTCCAGTAGGCAGCCCTGAATGTGATATATTTCCAGTAGGTGGCCCTGAGTGTGATATATTTCCAGTAGGCAGTCCTGAGTGTGATATATTTCCAGTAGGTAGCCTTGATCATGGAACATTTCCAGTAGGCAGCCCAGAGTATGATATAATGCCAGTAGAATACCCTGTGTATAATATATTTTGCTGTAGGCTACCAATATGACTATGGACATCATGAATTTCCAGTAAGTTGCGAAGACTTAAGGACGCGATAGATTTCCAGTAGCCTACCAAGGTGTGTGATATATTTCTACTAGACATCCGTTATCATGGCATGTGTCCAGTTGGTGCCCTTATTCAAATGGCAAATTGTTGATAGCTGTTCTGGTTGCTTTGACAAGTGTGTATATATCTTTTCAGTAAACAGAGCAGTAGTGAGATTCTCCTATACAGCAGAACAACCTGATGAATTGTCCTTGAAGGAAGGGGAGACCATCTCAGTAATTGACACCAAACTGGAGGACGAGGGATGGTGGAAGGGAGAAGCCAATGGCAGAGTTGGTGTCTTCCCAGACAATTTTGTAGAACTCCTCCCAGAAGAAGTAAGTGTGATAGTCTTTGTTTTGGGACTATTTAGAATAGTTTTGTCTTAATGTCTCCATTATATTAGATGTCTCAATAAAGATATTGCTTTCCATAAATCCGCTATCTAAATGGTCTACATTTATTGTCCCCCCGCGGCAACGCAGAATGGGGGACTATGTATTCAGCGTCCTTCCGTCCATCCATCCGTATGTCCCGATTCTTGTTAACGTGATATCTCATGAACTGTTGTACTCAATGTCTTCCAATTTGGTGACAACCTACATTGAGGGATTATGCAGACACCAGTCGATTTTGGTGACCTATATTCAAAGTCACCCCACTACTTTGCCCACTTTTCAAACTCTGTTAACACGATATGTCATGAACTGTTGTACCCAATGTTTTCAAATTTGGTGACAGCCTACATTGCGGGATTACACAGACACCAGTCGATTTTGGTGACCTTGACCTCATTTTCAAGGTCACCATGCCACTTTGACCACTTTTCAAACTCTTGTTAACGCAATATGTCATTAAACATTGTATCCCATGTCTTCAATTGTGTTGACAGCCTACATTGGGTGAATATACAGACACCAGTCATTTCAGGCATCTTTTATCTGACAAAAATATAAAAAGTAGTAAATATGTTATAAATATTTTGTTCTTCTTTAGCAGCGGGGGACATTGCCATATTAGTGGCAAACACTTGTTATCTGTGAACTTATCATAAACGCCTATCAAACTGTAAAATTGCAGGCTCCCAAACCCAAGAAGCCTCCACCCCCATCCATCTCCACCATACCCAAGGCCCCTCCAGGGGGCCGGGGAGCCAAGCCTGGTCTGTACCCCAAGTTGCCTGACAGGGTCCCTGCTGCTGACCCCCATGAGTCCAAGAAACATGACACAAAACATGATGGGAAACACAAGACAGAAGCACCAAGCAACAAGATCAAAGACCATACAGGTAAATACTACAAACTGGGTTGACATGTGAAGGCAGGGTGTTGTAGGAAGGCTGGGTTGACATGTGAAGGCAGGGTGTTGTAGGAAGGCTGGGTTGACATGTGAAGGCAGGGTGTTGTAGGAAGGCTGGGTTGACATGTGAAGGCAGGGTGTTGTAGGAAGGCTGGGTTGACATGTGAAGGCAGGGTGTTGTAGGAAGGCTGGGTTGACATGTGAAGGCAGGGTGTTGTAGGAAGGCTGGGTTGACATGTGAAGGCAGGGTGTTGTAGGAAGGCTGGGTTGACATGTGAAGGCAGGGTGTTGTAGGAAGGCTGGGTTGACATGTGAAGGCAGGGTGTTGTAGGAAGGCTGGGTTGACATGTGAAGGCAGGGTGTTGTAGAAAGGCTGGGTTGACATGTGAAGGCAGGGTGTTGTAGGAAGGCTGGGTTGACATGTGAAGGCAGGGTGTTGTAGGAAGGCTGGGTTGACATGTGAAGGCAGGGTGTTGTAGGAAGGCTGGGTTGACATCTGAAGGCAGGGTCTTGTAGGAAGGCTGGGTTGTCATGTGAAGGCAGGGTTGACATGTGAAGGCAGGGTGTTGTAGGAAGGCTGGGTTGACATGTGAAGGCAGTGTGTTGTAGGAAGGCTGGGTTGACATGTGAAGGCAGGGTGTTGTAGGAAGGCTGGGTTGACGTGTGAAGGCAGGGTGTTGTAGGAAGGCTGGGTTGTCAATGTCAGTCAGAGTGTTCTGGGAAGGCTGGGTTAACATGTGAAGGCAGGGTTTTGTGGGAAGGCTGGGTTGTCAATGTCAGTCAGGGTGTGGGAAGGCTGGGTTGTAAGCTGGGTTGTCAGTCAGGGTGTTGTGGGAAGACTGGGTTGTCAGTGTCAGTCAGGGTGTTGTGGGAAGGCTGGGTTGTCAATGTCAGTCAGGGTGTTGTAGGAAGGCTGGGTTGTCAATGTCAGTCAGGGTGTTGTAGGAAGGCTGGGTTGTCAATGTCAGTGAGGGTGTTGTGGGAAGGCTGGGTTGTCAGTGAGGGTGTTGTGGGAAGGCTGGGTTGTCAGTGAGGGTGTTGTGGGAAGGCTGGGTTGTCAATGTCAGTCAGGGTGTTGTAGGAAGGCTGGGTTGTCAATGTCAGTCAGGGTGTTGTAGGAAGGCTGGGTTGTCAATGTCAGTCAGTGGATTTCATGGAAAGACTGAATTGTGATGGGAAGGCCATGATGTTAGATAAAATGGAAGATATAGCTCTTAGTAAATGATTATGATGAAGGGACTGTTTTGAACATGGAAGACAACATTGTGTATGGAATGCTATCAGTGATGCTGCATGCATATATAAACTATGGCTATAACAAACTCGAAGGGATCACTTGCTTCAGTTTGACATCACCATAGTTTGTTTTGCACCATTCGACTATAATATAGTAAGTGAAGGGGCCTGAAAACAGTTTGTTGTAAGTTAGTTTGTTATAAACCTTGTGGACTATACTCTAAAAAGAGGGTTACAATATTTAATAGTGTAGTGTTGTCAGTAGTCTGTAGTGTTCTCAGTGTACATTGTGTTCTGTTGCCTATCTCTTGTCAGCTCATGTGAAGGGACCTCCGCCTCCGAAGCCGACACGTAAGATTTCTCTGCATCCACACATTTATTGCTATTTATGTAGCCTGCCTTTCACTGATTCATGTATAACTTATATCCAGCCTGTTTATGCAAGCTTTCCATGTGTGTGGCTAGAATCAGGCTGAGCTGCACACAAGCGAGCTTATCACATGGGTGAAGACATGCTTGTCACCTACCTGAGGCTGAGGGTCAGCTCACACACCTACCTGCAGTTGTGGAGGGGTTACATTGCCACGTACATTGCGCGGTCATTATATATTATTGTTTCATACACCAGCAAGGACAATGCATGTTCAACATAGACATATGGTATCTATGAAGCTGTGTGACAATGCTCAACACAAGCAATGACATCTTGTAGATGTGGTACTGCCAAGAACAAATTGATATGAACAATGTTTAGGTTGCTTGAACATGTATGGACAAGAAGGTGTGTTATATAAAAGCGGGTTCACTGTCAGCAACAACCCGGCCATAGCTTCATGTAGGTATGTTAGATAACGGCGGGTTCACTTCCAGGTCTTAACATCATATAGGTTGGTCAATGTCAGTTACAACCGGGTCTTAACATCATATAGGTGTGTTATATACAAGCAAAGGCATTGGATACTATAATAGATACAAGCAGGTTCACTGTCACCAACAACCCGGCCATAGCTACATGCAGGTATGTTAGATAACGGCGGGTTCACTTCCAGGTCTTAACATCATATAGGTTGGTCAATGTCAGTTACAACCGGGTCTTAACAACATATAGGTTGGTCAATGTCAGTTACAACCGGGTCTTAACGTCATATAGGTTGGTCAATGTCAGTTACAACCGGTCTTAACATCATATAGGTTGGTCAATGTCAGTTACAACCGGGTCTTAACAACATATAGGTGTGTTATATACAAGCAAAGGCACCGGATACTATGATAGATACAAGCAGGTTCACTGTCAGCAACTACCAGGTCTTATCAAAATGGTACAGTGCGTTATATACAAGCAGGTTCATGGTACACTGTTTTGATAATGGACATTTATAAAGCGCTTGTATCCAAGTATTTGTGCATGCTCATAGCGCTGAGACAATATTACCCCGATTAACCCAAGATGCCTGCGAGGCGCTAGGTAGTTAACAGTCATGTGACTTATCCCACCGGGTACCCATTCCCATCTTGGTGAAGATTTGCCTAAGGTGAGACCACATGTGTCACACTTGTTTCATTGTGGGCACAGGGGTTCGAATCACTGTTTGGACATTAATTTTTTTATATAAAAATCTAGACTTTTGCAATCATATATTGTTTTTATATGTTATGATTAACATATTTTTCAAATTCAAACAAAACCGGCGAAGAATTAAAGATTTTAGAACACTCTTCCACTACACTCATTATATAATATAAATAAATATTAATCATAACAACAAAAATATAAAAACAATATATGATTGCAAAAGTCTAGATTTATATTTTCAAAAATTATTTGTCCAAACAGTGATTGCACCCCTGTGGTTGTGAGGCCGGATTGAAGTCCTTGCCCCGATTTCTCGAAACAAACTTAAGTCTGAGTTTTTACTCAAATTTGAGAAAACGCAGGAAAATGCATTTCCCAGAATAATCTGAAATCAATATTAAACTCAAACTTAGTAGACAATTTGAGTTTGGTGGATAGATTACTTAAGTTGTTTGGGGTTTTTTTATTTAAAAAATGCAGTTGAGTTAAAAATTCAGCTGTTTCAAATTGTCAAACTCAGTTTGAAATTTGAGTAAAAACTTAAGTTTGTTTTGAGAAATCGGGGCCTGGATACTTAGTCACCCGTCCACTGTCCATGACCAACGTTGCTTAACTTCACCTGATTTGTGACCCATACTCTATGCACAAGCTTGTTCATGGTAGTTTGGGTACACTGTATTATATACAAGCAGGTTTATGGTACAATATATGCGATATATAAAGCATGTTTATGCTACACGTTGCAATACAGAAGCAGGCTCATGGTACACTGTGTTATATACAAGCAGCAACACTAGATCTGGCTACATGTAGATGTCTTATATACAAGCATGTTCATGGTACACTCTCAGGAACAATCAGTTTTTGATACCAAGCAGGTCATTTTGTCACACTTTAGACTGGACGGTACATTGTACATTGTATGTCCTGCTGCTTCAGAATCCACCAACGATCGGGTGGCTCCCCCCATCTACAGCTGCCAAAAAACCCTTTGTCCCTCCCCCTGTGGGCAAAAAGCCTCCTCCCCCAAAACCCGAACCCCCAAAGCCAACTGAGCCTGCCAAAGTGGAGAGTAAACCCGTGGCCCTGACATCCACCACTGACTCTAGAACAAAGGACAGTCAGGAAGGCAATGGGCTCGCAGATGATAAGGAGACTCCTGGCCAATCAGACCAGGGTAATATTCTTGTCGTCGTCATTACTGTTGTTTTAGTTACTGCTTGGTAAAGGTATTTAGTGTCTTGAAGTTTGAAGTACACCTCGGCGCACATTTTCCAGATTTTCACATACATGGATACATTCTTTGCTTGCTCTGTTCTTCGATGCCTGCAGCATGTATAGCCCGTCATTCCCCACTCACCGACATTGATGGTCCAGTGTGTGACCGGTCACCAAGCATGTACCACTAACACTGACCACGCCTTGTTGTGTTCATGTTGTATTATCTCCCCTGTTCACATGCTAAAGCTACCTTCATTGCTGTAGCAACAAGCATTGTTCATACACTCCCTTCCTCGCTCACTATTCCCAAAACCTTGTGTTTGTTTTGTGTTGTTCACAGCTTGGTCCTGCATGGTTGTGTTGGGAAGCTCAGCCATGTTTTGTGTTATACTGATCCAAGGCTGCATGCTTGTGTTGGGTAGATATGACTGTGTTCTGTGTTGTACTTACAATTACTCCATGAAAACTTAAGGGTGCTCAGGGACCTGTTTCAGAAAGGGATCATGATGCTTATGACTATTGTAACTCTTTTTCTAAAAGTTATGACTGTCGTAGAGCTATGATCGCTACACAATACATGCAGACAGTGTTTCTCGGGGCCCCTGTTGTATGGTAAACTGGGGACCCCTAAAACTCAATCATTTAACATTAGGGTGATGACAATAACTTTCATGCATTGTTTTGGCCACTGTGATTGTAATGAATATCTGAGCATGTTCTGTGGTAAACTTATCTGAAGGCTGCATGAGTGTGTCAGGTAATTCTGATAAGAGTTGTGCTTGGGTTGACGTATGTATAAATAAATTTTGTTGGAATGTTTATGGTAACAGTTGGAGATACTGACTGACTGAGCATGGAGATGTATTGGTACAGTGACACATGGCTATGGTCTCTATGAGGAGGTTCTGTAGTATGTTGTGTATGCCTGGTGAAGGGATTGATGTTCTGGTACACGTCTCATCAATACCTTGGTTTAGTTCATTCACGACTTGACAGATCCACTGTCATTGACCTCTTGTCATGTCTACAGTGTCAGGTTTGCACAGTGACCAAAATCTTTAGAGAATTCACTTTTTTCACTTCTTCCCCTTTTTAATAAGTTATTTCCTAATGTACTGATTTCTAAAAAATGATTAGTGACTTGATAATTAGTATTTTTATTTCTCCAAACAGAAATAAGTCAAATGTTAAACCCTTACTTATTTATTGTCGCTATTTATGAATTGTTTATGAGTGCTATGATTTGAACCAGTTCAACTTTTTCTTATTTAACCCCCTCCCCCACTCACACAAAGCCCCCTTAACTATATTTTTAATAATTGTTTCCTTCCCCCTTAGCATTTGGAAGAAATGGAAAATAAAATGTTTGAAGTTGGGACAAATAGTTAAGTGTCACACTACTTCCAACAGCTTTGGTCTGATTATATAAAATCTAGATTGGCTCAACTCTCAAGCAAACAATATATTCCTTGATTCCTGGAATATCAAAAGTGGAATTATATGCCATTCTATTCCTTAATCTTGAAAATGCTAACTGTAGTTACATACAGAATAGGTCATTTATGGACCATGCTAGGTTTTTTATGTTGTTAGAATGGGTATTGAATGGCCACAATGGCTGTTGGGTATGAACACTACTTGGAAGATAGAGCAACTGGAAAACTTAGCAATGTTTCGTGATTTTGCTGGAGACTTTCATTACATCAATGTGGGGACATTCTCCTATATAGTGATCAAGTTTTAACTTTTCTGTTGACAAACTTACCAAGAAAATACACCTATCTGGAACTTTGAATGTTCACTATCAGCCATTGTGTTGGATGGTAAATGTACACTGTAGATGTAAAATCTGCTCAGCACCACATCCAACTTCCACTGTAACAGTTTGAAAGTTTTGAATGTTTTACAATTTACACTGTGCATGTAGACAATTATGTGTCAGTTTGTGCCTAAACCTGTAGAGTCCACAGCCTGAAAATGGCTCTTAGGACCATTTTTGTTACATACTACTCACACTTTGCTAAGGATCACAAAAATGCACAAATTTTCTTAAACATAGATTTATAATTTGAAATTGTATCCATTTAAAACTGGATAAATGATGATATGGTAACACATCTTTAGGAAAACAGCCACTTTAAGCTAATCGTGTGCACTTTATACATGTGTAACCATAAAAATGGTTTTCATGGTACTAATCAACCATTTTGCAAATCATGGAATGAGTCATTGACAAGTACACAACACCTGTCAGTAGCAGGTATGGGATCCACAAGATGCAGTGACATACTGAAACCTAGGATCCATGCTAATAGGCTTAGAAATTTAAACCAGGTTTGACCCCACATCATAGTTTTCTGTAGAATCAGTGATTTGATCCTTAGCAAAGTGTGAATAGTATAGTTTACTGTTTTTATGTGGTATTTATGCGCTGATCATACAAGACTGGACTGGGGCTTCGGACTAGCTACTAAAGTCACAGACTGAAGTGTTATCTTGATAAATGAACTAGCACCCATAACGATGTGAAGTTTGAGCAAGACAAATTAGTCTAAATTAGGGCTCTAATGATTCAATAAATTTACTTGTATCCCTTCATGAATTCAAATCCTTGTTGACAATCACTAAAATGGAATATTCGCAATTTTTTAAAGGGATGTTTTTACCCGAATTTGTTATTATTTATCAAAGTGAGTGGAAAAAGGACTATATCCAAGCCAGGCTGGTGAATTATCAATTCTTTTGTACATTATTTGAAATTAATGGATAAATTAACTCTGTCAACAAGGTCCAAACACATAGAATATATTTTGTTATTGTTTCACGGAATACAATCAATAATATATCAACTGCTGATTTGTAATTGTAGTTATAACCCAGTAGTTGTATGTATCATATTCATCTCAGAGTGTATGTGGGGGTGGGGTAGATTAGTGGTTAAAGCGTTCAGTCATTACGCCGAAGACCCGGGTTCAATTCCTCACATGGGTACAATGTGTGAAGCCCATTTCTGGTGTGATATTGCTGGAATATTGCTAAAAGCGGCGTAAAACTTAACTCACTCACTCACTCACACTCATGGTGGATTTATTACAGCTTTAGTCTAAATGGTATCAAAATTTTATGGAACAAAGTCCTAGATTAATATTAATGTAAAATTGGTTTACTTTGCATTCCGCTGTGCCCAGGAGAAGCAGGTGAGCCAGCATGTTAATGTTATATTGAACGTCTCCTGTGTTGTGTGTGAATGATGAGAATACCAAATAGCTGCATGTGTTTCATATGAAAAATATGAATATGTATTTGAAGAAAAGTAGCCTAAAGCTAAATAGTTTTAAGATTGTATGACTGGTACATCTAAGCTGACTTAAGCCATTGTATTTTTTTAAAGAAAAGTTTGTGATTTCAAATAATGTTTTAGGAATGTTATATGGGTGCCCTGAAGCCTTGTATTATTGAACTGCTCTTTACCGAAGAGGGGTGGTGGGGTAGCCTAGTGGTTAAAGTGTTCACTTATCATGTGCTGAAGACCCGGGTTCAATTCCCCGCATTGGTACAATGTGTGAACCCCTTTCTGGTGTCTTCCGGCGTGATATTGCTAGAATATTGCTAAAACACTGTTATGTCAAACTTTGATGTGTTGTCTCATAGTCAGTGTTTTGTCCGTGCATATTCTGTATCTAATCATCATTTTGTTTTGGTCCATGGATAATTTAAAGTATCATGTAAGTCCCTTCATCTCTGACACAACAGTGTTTGTAATACAGAAGAACAGCCGTAGTTTTATAAGCTTGTCATTGATCACTGGATTCCAACATGCAAGCTACGGAATTATTCCAGCAATTCCTTATGACACCAGTAAATTTAAAACAGTTCTCATGTGATTGGCATGGGAGAGATTAGCTTACAGTGTGAATCTGTGATTAACTCAGAAGCCTGAGACTTGAAACAATGAAGTTTTCAAAGCAAAAATAAAATATACACATGTGTATGATTTGAATAAAACTAAAGCCGACAACACCAGTATTTTGGTCCTAATTGTGTCCAGGGCATAACACCAATAAAAGAGTCTAAAAAAATGCTAACAGTAGAGGTGCAACGGTACGCCCATACCACGGTTCGTTACGTATTGCGGTACACAGCTCTCGGTTCGGTTCATTAACAATACAACTTAAGGTTCCGAGAAAAAATCTTCTTCAAATTGGGACCCAAACGAAAGTGCCTTTACATGAACTTGTTCATCCAATCGAATCAGCACGAGTTGTTGACAATGGCACAGTAATGTCAGAAATGGTAGCTACATGAAGATGTCATCTAGAATTAAATTACATGGAATTTTTGTGATGACATTCCAAAAGTAATATGCCTAAGGTGAGTAAGATATTTTCGGTACGAAAACTGAATGTACCGTAATCTCAAAGTGAATTTCGGTGTACTGAACCGAAAACAAAATACCGCGGTATACCATTTCAGCCCTAGCTAACAGTAGATTGTGGGAATCAATAGCAGAAATAAATAACTAGTCAGAGTTATATAATGCAAATGAAGTCAAAACTAAGTCTAACGTGAGATTTCACACTGTTGAAAACAAGACCAAGGCTGATAATGGCATGTCCTTGACTAGCTCAACTCATCTCCCCTTTATGTTCTCATCACTGGCTTGCCTTCATATTAACAGCCACTACTAAAGACTTGTACAGTCCTTTGTACAACTTTGTTATCCAACTTGTAATCAAATGTGTATACACCCTACTCAGTTTATGTATACCTATGTGCAAAAAAAATGAGACACATATTTCAAAATTTAAAGTATGGTACTGACTGAAGAAGACTGTTTGTTGCACCAGCGTGACAAGTGTCTTCCATGAAGCGAAAATTTGGATATGAAGTTGTCTCATTTTTTCTGCCTGTTATATCATGTATATATCAGTGTATATCATTAACTGTTTAGTTTTTGACATATTATTGACATACTATAAGAAGGTACATGTTGTGAAATATAAACGAATATAGAGACACTGTCTTTATAATGTTTACACCTGCTCTACTGTTAATGAATACAAACTTCAAGAATGTCTGTTGAACACCTACCCTGTGGAATCAGCTTAGAATATGTTCTATGCTGGTTGTAGGAGGTGACTTAATGGATCATGTGGTATGCCTCGATGACTGGGTTAATTGCATGTCCTTGTATCTGAGGAACATGGATTGTTGCTCAGTCAGTTGTCATATAGCTGGAATATTGTTGACTGGGGCGTTAAATAACAAACAATCTAACAACTGTTGATTACCTAATACCGGTACATTCCAATCATGTACAGGGATTTATCTAGACTTAAAGGATCATCGTAGTATTTTGCATCAAATCTGAGCAATGTCAATCAAAACTCCTAAATTATAATAAGTTTCCCCAGACATGCTGCGAGTGATGACAAATGTCATGGCTTTGTATCTCACTGATAAGAGGACAAATATTGAGCAACAGAGACACTTTAATGCTGAGATGGAAAATATTACATTGAATACAATGTTAAAACCTCTCTGTATTTTGAAAAAGAATTTGTTTTTATAAAAGTTCCAAATTCAAACAAAGTAATTATTCCTCCCGAAATGCCTGCCATTGGACTTACTTTGTTATCCTAGATAAATCCCTGAAGTAATGAGTAAATCATTGTGTAATCTCAGAAGAGATAAGTTTTAATTCATAGGAGTTGCTATGAAAATCATATCCATGTACCTTTGATACCATATGTATGAGATTGATCATGTATGTTGATTATTGCAAAGGGATATGTTGTATATATATGTTAATGATTTGCCTTTCGCTTCACCACTGTACTATGTCCTAGTTGATGCAGGTAGGTTGTCACAAGGTTGTATAACTTGATATTGATAACTGATTGATAATATGATGCTTGTGTTTCCGACATGACTCCACTTCAGGTAATCAGTGTGTGCAGGCCTTGTAAAAATGGAATATTGCAAACTGCTGTCAAGACAGCATCTATTGATGCACTGTCTACTTTTTACTGGGACATGTGCTGCTTGAATAGTGCTCTAGGCTTTTAGAGGGAAATAAAGCTTTTGAGTCCAGTGAAGTGTTGAGAATATATTTTCAACCTACTGTCATTGGCAATATTAAGTGACTTTGTAGTGTTTGGTTCTCTGCTTCTTTTTGTTGCATGTAGTCATTCTGGAAGCAGTCTTGCCATGTTTAGCAGAAAATAAAGAGATTAAAAAAAATACAAAATATTTTTGATCATAATAGTTATCATGGTGACCAAATTGGTTGCCAAGGTTACTAGTACATTTGTAATTGTCATGATTGCCATGGTGTGGCATGTAAAGATCTGTCATGATGGCTTGTATATATCCTGCAGTCATGGCAGCAGTGGTGGATTGTAAATATGTGATTACTTTAATAGCTATAATATGCCTACATGGTAGTCAACATGGCGTTTAAGTGCCTGTTTATGCTGCTGTGGTAGCCATTGTGATAAGTAAATTCTGCATTGGGTGCATGTAAACTTGCAAAGTTGTAAGCTTGTTAACTTCAGCTACATGTATGTAAGAAGGGTAATGGTATAACCTTCATCTCGACTGTTTCAGAAAACAATTTTGAGTCCTTGGAGCCCACCTCCCAGAAGCTGACACATTTGACAGCATCACGGGCTAAAGGACCAAAGAAGAGGCCACCGTCGACAATATTCACATTAGGGGTAAGAGTGTATGGTGATTGTGACAAAAAACTGTGGCTGATTTTGTTAGTGATGTCATGGAGAAAGAGTGAATGAGTTTCAGCATTTTATATGCAGTGCACTTATATTCGGACCGGCTTGGGACTGACTAAAAAGTCCCAATTGGACAGCAGTTCGAGGTACACAGATTTTAATGCAGTTATCACCCTTTGACGAACATACGATTGTGCATGAAACACATAATATATGGAATGGATTGAAAACACTTTGACGAAAGGATATTGAAAACCATGGAGTTGAACTCAAACTTTGAACTCAAGATCTACGTGTCGACTTTGATGCAGAAAACAGCGGACTTCCTGCTCAGTCCGGATTATAAAGCAATGTTTTAACGTGTAACTACTTTTTCGGGCCGACACTTTGGTCCGAAATCCGAAATAATGACAGTCCGAGATACAGAGCTTTTTCATTATGACAACAAAGAAGGATTACGCAAGTTCAGTCTGGTTTATACAGCAATCCGAGAAAGACAGAGTCCGAGTTGGACAGAGTGCACAGTATATGATATTACATAAGCAATTCTGATTGATGTCAGGAGAATACTTTAGCTGACCAAGACCAAACTAGTTACCCAAATATACTGATGTGGTGGGGACAAACCAAGAACCATGATCACCTAAAATTCAAACTCATGAGGTACAATGTGTGAAGCCCATTTCTGGTGTGCCCTGCCGTGATATTGCTGGAATATTGCTACAAGTGGAATAAAACCCAACTCACTCACTCAAACTCATGAGGTACAATGTGTGAAGCCCATTTCTGGTGTGCCCTGCCGTGATATTGCTGGAATATTGCTACAAGTGGAATAAAACCCGACTCACTCACTCAAACTCATGAGGTACAATGTGTGAAGCCCATTTCTGGTGTGCCCTGCCGTGATATTGCTGGAATATTGCTACAAGTGGAATAAAACCCAACTCACTCACTCAAACTCATGAGGTACAATGTGTGAAGCCCATTTCTGGTGTGCCCTGCCGTGATATTGCTGGAATATTGCTACAAGCGGAATAAAACCCAACTCACTCATTCAAACTCATGATCAGTGGATCCTGCTTCTGCGCAGGGGCATAACTGTGCACAGTTAACAGCAGCCTTTTACTCTACTATATTGACCATTTGTTATGGAGATAATCAGGTATGCAATAGCTCGTTAGAAAAGAAGTCACAGTTTTGTTCCTGATCACATAATGAGATGTTTGCAGAAAACCACAGATTGACATATTAAGTTATATTTTCAGGACAGCCCAGACAGCCCTGACCCTGAGGAACCAACATCTTCCACACCCCCAGCGGTACACACCCAGCACAACGATAGCAGGGCTCCTCCTCACCCATCTAAAGAGAAGCAGGTACATACTACCACCACTTTGGGTAGTAATTAGTACAAGGAAGTGTAATGTTTACATAGGCCACAATCAATCATTTTGTTTATATAATCAGTTTGATGTTTATATTTTGCCAGATCGTTCTGTTGATGGTAAAAATTCTAGAGTTATGTCCCTTGTTCTTGATACACAGACTTTACTGATTTTCACTCTCATTCTCTGACCGAAACATGACAAAAACGAACCTTGCTGCTGAAAATGGCAAATTCATTTATTTTGTACTTATTTGTCTTCCCAACTCAGATTTGTCAGAATCATCCTTTTTACTATTTTGTTGTTTATTTCAGTCAAGTATATTGGACATGGAGAAGAGGAGTCACTCGCACAATCAGTCAAACCACCAAGCACACAATACAGCACCACCGCGCCCACCAGAACCATCAGCATCGGGACAAGGTACAATATTGACATGATAAATCCTTGTGTTTGAAAGGCGTTTCTTGGGAGTAACGATGACAAAGTATACACAGTTCATAGATGACCACTATAATATATAGTCAACAAGTTGTTGTCCTGGAATGTTCAGGTATATGGCAAATGTTAATTGAATACTTTAAACAAATATATCTTCAAGGGACATTTCTTGGGCAGTTTGCTCATGTGTTGGTAATAATTATAATGGAGAGCCTGATGAAGATTTTACTGTTTTGCGGCAGGTGGGGCAGCCATGGCTAAGGCTCTGGAGGAGGTGCAGCGAGAATTACGGGAACTACGAGCAAACACAGTGAGTCGAAGCACCTACGCAGAGATGAGGGCTGACTATGACCGACTCAAGCATGACGTAGATAGCTTCAAATCCTCCTCCACAAAGAAGATCCGAGAGCTGATGATGGAGGTGGACGAGGAGAAGAAACTGAGGCTCAACACACAGGTGGAGATTGAGCGCATCAAGAAACTGCTGGCAGAAACCAATGTGTGAACTTGAGGCACATCACACCAATGTAATCCAACATATAGAGGAACAGTAGCCAAGGGCACAGCAGGAACTCCGCAGAACACAGAGACAGGTGCTCTCAGACAGACATAGTGTACCCTGACAAACACCGTGATGTTGACACGAACAATTTATGTCTGTAATGTTCAGAAGAAATTGCCTACTTACTCATTAAGTGTATCCTATAATGAATATGGACCAAACAGTGATGTTGAAATGCTCATCTCTGAGCCTTCTTCAAGCTATTGGCATTCTCATTTATACCTCCACAGGATAAGAAAAGGATCAAAATGTAGATATGCTTGTGATATACAGATGTTGTATAAACACGTATATCATGTGGCGGTAGATAATAGTAGACACATGGTTACAATGCGTTGACTCTCATGAGATCTTATCAACATGGTTGTTAAGTGCTTCGCCACGTTTGAGAAAACTGGGTTCAACTTTTGTCTAACATTTCCAGCTATAGCCCCAGGTTCGGATGGTATCCTGTGTAGTATGAATGTTAACATGTCAGGAATGAGACAGGAGAGAGTGGCTTGTGCCTCTCACAATGTCTGTGTGCTGTATAATACTGCTGGGGGCCTGAGACACAAGCACTGGGAACCTGGGTGTGAAGCTTGTGCTGTGATATCTCCAGGTCTTGGAGATGCTGGCTAAGTAGAGCTGCTTTGTTGTAAATGTGCTGGTCTGACTGACCAAGTGGACATCACTTGTCCATGGATCATGCTGATGGCCACTTTCTACATTCCATTGTGGGCCATATGCCTATGTGTACTATGATATTAATGCTAATCCTGATATCACACAGCATTATCCTTTCTCTATGTTGCATTTTTTAACTTGCCAAATATTTCTTATTCCTGATTATATGTATCCATGCTTGTTATGTAACTAATCTGAGGGGAAATAGTCTAGGCTGAACATATTGTGTACTCAGCTGTAACTGTATGTAAAAGCGCCCTTAAGAAATTCCACTGTCACATGATGAAGAAACATCTCCATATCTGCTTGCATACTGCTTTGTCACTTGACAGAAAGACTCCTGTCACATGATGCATAGACCCGTCACTTGATGGAGAAGATCCTCTGGTATTTGAGGAAGCTGCCTCTGTCACTTGTTGGAGAGACTCCTTTGTCCCTTGATATTTAGGCTCTCTCTCCCAGGATGGAGAGACACCTCTGGTATTTGAGGAAGCTGCCTCTGCTATTTGTGGGAGAGACTCCTCTGTCCCTGGATACAGGGTATTCTCTCTCCCTGGATGGAGAGACACCTGGTATTTGATGGAGAGACACCTCTGGTATTTGATGGCAAGACTCCTCGGTCACTGGATGGAGAGGTTCCTCTCCCTGGATGGAGAAGATCCTTTCTTCCTGGATAGAGAGATACCTCTGGTATTTAAGGAAGATGCCTCACTTGATGGAGAGACTCCTCTGTGCTGGTATAGACAGACCTTTGTCGCTCAAGGAGAGACTACTTTAGACACCCCTCTGTCCCTGGATAGAGAGAGAGGCTTCTCAACTGGATGGAGAAACGTCTCTTCCACTAGATGGAAACCAGATGTCTGGTGACCCCATTTCTAATCATGATGTAATTCCTGTATGTGTTCTGAAGAGCACAAGTTACCGGTATATGTATCAAAATTAAACCATACATTATGTAGTGACATCAGCTATGAAATGTATTGTTATTATATACTGTTATATCCAAGGATGCTTTATAGTATATCGTTTTGTACATTTCTATTTTACTTTGTTGATTTTGAAAACTATTTTATTGAAGTACATGCTTATAGAATACACATCAAGCTTAATTCCTCGGCTAACATTCCTGCATCTTGGATGACAAAAGCTTCATACACAGCAACACTCCTCGCATATCGGTCATGATGAGGTGATCTCAAAGGGAGATAATTCTGTTAACGCTTTTAGCATATATTTTATCATCTCTTTTTGTAAGCTAATTTATTTTAGATCAACTTTAATCATCTTTATACTATTTATAGAGCATTTCAGCTCAGCTTTGTATTAACAGAGTTTGCTGACTGTTCAGCGAAGATCTGCTCTTTGATTTGTGCAGGCATCATGTAGGCATGTTGTATGCAAACCTTTCTACTTTACAGTAGGCATTGATTGTACCCCGTTCGGGTGTAATATAGGTATGAGTGTAGTACATGTTGCTCACACCAGTTGTTGTAGGCACTGTGTGTAGGCCTGCCTGTAGTGTGCTCTTCTCTCCTGTAGGCATTAATTATACCTCGTAGACCTGTCGGCCATGTCATTCCCATGTTTAGTGGGCATCAAGAGTGTACGCTTGCTTGTTGTATGTGAAAATTCCACGTTGGCTTTACTTCTAAGCCTCATTGTTAGTATGACCTGGTCCTTGAAAGGCAACAATATGGGCGTGTTACAGTGTTTAGGGCATTATGTTTTTGACATTTACCACATATTTCTAAAACAAGGTAACATTCTGTGGGTGGAGTCATCCATTATTGCATGATGTAGGCTTTTCCACTAATGGCTGTGCCATTCATTATGGGTGGTGTTATTTAATGTAGTGTGCAGTTGGCAGACTTTAACCATGTCATGTGGGCTGGGCTGCTGGATGGAGACTATTGGATGTGCAGTTCAGCATTACCAATGGTGGTGTCATTCAAAGGTTCTGTAGGTTGTCTTTCAATGTATCCTGAGATACAGCAAGGGATGTTAAATGTAAAGGTCAAAAGGAATGTAATGAACAAGATTCTCTTTGTTGCCCTATCTCATAATGTCAGCAGATATTCATCATGATACTGTGGATTAGCCCACATATTTGCCAGTTACCTGCTATGTCATTTATAAGATCTGTTTTTGACACTTTTTCTATTTTTCCTTGCTCCTTTTAAAGCTTGATATTGAAAGATCTGAGTGATAATTGGAATGAATTCCTTCTTGAAATTGTATCTGATGCTGATGAATGAAAATCTTGATCCACCATGGGACTGTATATAAGTTAATGTTGGTAGGAAGTAGATTAGATACTGTGTGGGTTTAATGCTTTACATGACCAGTCTGCTGTAAGGCATGAGTTATCACGACTAGCCATCTGTGTAAAACTGGGCATCACACGACTAGCCTGCTGTGTGCATGTAGTGCATCAAGTTTCAAGTCTAGCCTTCTGCATAACCATGGTAATTTGGACTAGCTTTCTATGTAGCATTGTATGTCACGTGGCTAGCCTTCTGTATAGCTTTGTGTATCACACAACTGGCCTGCTTTGTGGCCGTGGTCCCTGAAATGACGAGTATGCTGTGTAGCACGGTCTATAACATGACTGGCCAGCCATGTTGTATGGTGCATCTAATGACAAGTCTGCTGAGTAGAAAGCTTAGCTGACTGTGTAGCATGCTGCATCCTGACTTGTTAGTGTAACATATTATATCAAATGCCTTGGCTGCTCTGGGTATGGTGCGTCACATGACCTGGTACATCACATGATTAGCCTGTGTAGCCTAGTGCGTCACATGACTAGCCTGTGCAACCTGGTACATCACATGATTAGCCTGTGTAGCCTAGTGCATCACATGACTAGCCTGTGCAACCTGGTACATCACATGATTAGCCTGTGTAGCCTAGTGCATCACATGATTAGCCTGTGCAACCTGGTACATCACATGACTAGCCTGTGTAGTATAATGCATCACAAGACTAGCCTTCTTTGTAGCATAGCACATCACATGACTAGTCTATGCAACCTGGTACATCACAACATGACTAGTCTGTGCAACTTGGTACATCACATGACTACCCTGTGTAGCATAGTGCATTAAATGACTAGCCTCCTGTGTAGCATGGTGCATAGCATGACTAGCCAGGGAGTAGCCAGCTGTGTACCATAGTAGTGGATCACATTACTAGCATGTTGTGTAGTATGATGCATAACATGACTAGTATGACTAGCAAGTTGTGTAGCATGGTAGCAATAACAGCTGGCTAAAGAAGCATCACATGACTAGCCCGCTGTGTACTGTGGTAGGTCACATGACTAGTCTGCTGTGGACAAGCTGAAATGCTTTGTCAGCATTGCACTTCTGACACTGTGCGATAAAACCATGAATATCAAGTTAGTGATGAATTTTCATATCATTACATGTTACACATACCAGAAACAAACCTGTGAATATATTACATTGTTTAATGGTGTATTTATTACAAATATATCTCTACTGTATGTCTTTATTTAGGTTTACATTTTATCATCATTACATCATGCACATTTATTCTATTTGTGTATATATTTGTACATTGATCATATTTGCCTGTACACTTTGCTCGATACACTTTATATATCGCTAAGAGGCGTGTCTGTTGTTTGTTCTCACCATGGCTATGGATGTATCAACCTATCCTCATGTGCATGTATGTAAGGATTGTTCAAAAGATTGTGGGGTGAGTGAGAATGGTTTTACACGCTTTTAGCAATATTCCGGCAGGGGACACCATAAATGGACTTCATACATTGTACCCGTGTGGGGAATTGAACCAGGGTCTTTGGCGTGACAAGCTAACCCATCGCCCCTGATGTAATGGGGTCCGCCGCCACACTAATCCGGGGGGGCAGGGTGTACTATCGGTTATTGTCACGCTGAGCTTGTACTGGGTAATTGTGTCCTCAAGATTTGGTACAAACAGGTACAGAACAATACTGCGGCATTTTCGACGGAATGTACTAATACGTAGAGAGCCAGTAATGTCAAAACAGCGTAGCGCTATGAAGTAATATAACTGCTAGTAGTACACGAACACCACCTGGTGCAGAAAAATCACTGGCGAACCCCATTTGAGTAAGACCTCAGTTTGATAGGAATCCACTTTCTCAAACAGACGTTCTGAATTAGAATATGCCGTCAAGACTGTGATTGAAAATGCTGACTGTTTCTCTGGACGGTCTAAGCAGACTGTCATACATACCAGATTACACAGGCACAAACTGACACGAAATGATTCTGAAAGAAATCACATTTTGAGCAACCGATCGGGTCTACGAAAGAAAAAGACAAACACATGTTCCAAAACAGAAAAATGCGCATGCTGTTTTGCACACTAAAATACTGACAAGCAGAGATTTGGATGCTAAACATTTTCACAAATTTTAGATAGCAGTGACATGCAGTGGACTCCCATTAAGTGCGCTTTTTTTCTTTGATGATCTATGAAAATGTCTTTGGTAAAGAAGCTTTCCGCAGAATTTCCAAATTCTCTGTTATAAAACTACGGAGCATATGACTCACTTGGGATACTTGTTCTCTTTAAGTGGATGCTATCTTTCTTCTACATATTTACAAAACAACCTGACTTTCAAAAATCCAAAATTTATTTGAGGTATGTACAATGTGGGTGACATTCAGGCATATTTCAGTTGCCTTAATGAGTAAGGGGGCACTACAGAGTTGGACATGAGCTGCCCACAATCTGACGGCTGGAGTTTGGGCTCCTCAGTATGATCAAGATTGGACATGCCCTTCAGTTCAGAGACAAGTGAAAATTCCGTAGGACGACATTTCTTCTTCCATATTGAATTATGATGTTACAAATACCGCAAGTCTGTAATGAGCTGTGGACCATGTTGATTATATCTCATGGTGTCCATCACACTTCTGTCACAAAATGCCACTTGAGAGCCCTTCAGTGGGCTTGGGATGCAATTGGCATCTCCCTGTGATACTGATGCATCCCTGTCACCATGATGAACTGCATCCCCAACCCAGGGGTGACTGCACTGTCTGTGAATGATGTGTCCCTGGAATGCAGCAGTATTCCTGCATCTCACGGCCTCATGCAGACTCCACCACCCACAGATGCACCTTCTTGTCTCCCCCGACGGCGATGATGGGCAGGGTGTGGTGCCACGTCAGGCCATATGCCACCTGCAGACTGGCGTTCACATGGAGCTGCAAACGGAAACATGACGTGAACACTGGAATAAACATACAATTTGTCGCTTCTGAAACTAAATTATCAATTACTCCAACATTTGGTGCTGTTTATGTGTTCAGGAGAGAATGTTACAACTGACAGTATACCAGCGATATCACAGCACCCTGGTATCTGAGTGTGAACCTTGCAAATCAGTTTTCCACACAGAAGAACTGTAGTAAAATATGCATGCATGAATGACTTGCTTACAATGATAATGGCAACTACTCCTAGTGATGTCTCAGTCACATCACCTTATTGAGAACCCGTGAAGATGTGGGTTACGGTTGACAAATCACACTTGTCATACTGTGGCAACTAATGGGACTGTGCAGACTAGACTATTTGCAGATTGCACTCAACATGGTCAAAGCTGGAATAATGCTGAGTGTGGTATTGAACAACAAACAACATGGTACATTCAGATAGAAGCAGTGTACAATCAGCTCCTGATTCAGTGTCCCATGTGACTATTATAGTCTAGCCCTCAACAGAACATACCACTTTGAGGTAGCAAGTGTATTTCATGTGTGTTTTGCATTAGCTTGACAAACCTGCTGATGTCGAGTGTTGAAGACCTTGACTTGTCGTCCAGGACGACCAATGGTTGCTAGTAGACTCTGGTGACATCGGGCAAACTTGAAATACTTTGTTCCCTCAATGTGAGCTTGGCGTTTTTCAATGGGTTGACTACAACAGAACTTGAATTGTTAGTACAAACACCAAACATGCACCAGAGAGCGGAAGATCGCGGGTTCAATCCCCGACCGGGTCATAGCAAAAGACGTTAAAATATGGTACTTGTTGTTCCCTGCCTGGCCCTCGGCATTAATGGGTACAACAAGGACTGGTTGGTTTGGAGTCAGTATAATGTGTCTGAGGGGGGTATTCATGCTCACTGTGGCATGGTATCTCAGTGGGCTAGCACTATAAAAAAACAGCTTCAGTCTGGGCTAGTACAAGCAGCCACACATACACATACACACGCATACACGTCGTCATATGAGCGAAATATTCCCATTTCACCTCACCTCACCTCCTTAAGTTAACCCATGAGCCTACATCTGAGTGTTAAGGTTTGACTGTTACTAACTGCACTATGAGATCATTTAGTATTTTGTTTTGTAATATCTGACTATAACCATGGTAACAAATGAGGTAGCTCACCTGGACACTGATGTATCGAAGATAAGCCAGTCTGTCCCTGCAATAGCTCCCACCTGCAGACTGCTGTGTCTTGACCAATCAGCAGCCAGCAAGGGCACCTGACCACAACTGAGACTCATGATTGGTTGCTGGTTTGTCAGACTGAAAATCCTAATCACACCATTCTTCTGTCCAACTAAAATCTGAAACATTCACAACTTGATGTAGGTGCAGAAGAACATAGAAGACTCCCACCCACTGTTGCCATGACAACACTTATCTGCTATTAGTTCAATGTCTATGAATCAAGGAATCCATTACATTGAAGGACTAGTCTTGAAACTTTCACATGATTGATGAGTGCTAACCGAGTACAGAAATAAATGTTCTGGCCCCGATTTCTCGAAACAAACTTAAGTCTTGAGTTTTGACTTAAGTTCAAATTTTTACTCAAATTTGAGAAAATGCATTTCCCAGAATGAACTGAAATCGATATTAAACTCAAACATAGTAGACAACTTGAGTTTGGTGAATAGAATACTTAAGTATTTTGGGCTTTTTTATTAAAAAAATGCAGCTGAGTTCAAAATTCAGCTGTTTCAAATTGTCAAACTCAGTTTGAAATTTGAGTAAGAACTTAAGTTTGTTTCGAGAAATCGGGGCCTGGAGAAATCGTCTGAGTTCATTATTTGTGCACATCAACCTGACACTTTTCCACTATAAGAACAATGCTAGTAGGACACTGATATAAAATTCAATATATTTCAGTCAGTTCGGTTCTAATGCTATATTTCTGGCCAGCCAAATCAATATCACTGAAGCAAATCCAATTTCACATGGAACCAAATTTAAAACATAATAAAAAGATTGCATTTCTTGTGCATGTTGGAAGCAGTGACAGACAAAAACACACTGTCTCTAACAAACCTCCCAGTCCCCTCACTGAACACATTAAATTGTAGGTCCATGTTAGATGCTCCAGTCTTACTTTGAGTGGCTCCTCTGAGTGCCAGCAGACACTCATGCCGGGAGAGGTCAGCTGGAACACCAGCAGCTGTTGACCCTCTGTTGACCATATTCGGCAGGTCAGATCATCACTAGTACTGGCAAACTTTGACCCATCCCCAGGGTCAAAGGTCACATCATTGACAAAGTCATTATGACCGGAAAATGTCTGTAAATTAAACACATCTTGGTTACAGCGTGAGAAATAACATATTTATAAACACTAGATGTCTCTAGAAGACACATAAAGGACACAAATATCCAATAGCTTCCAAGGATTATTTATCCTAAGTAATAACACATATCATGATACAAGTTGGTGATCTGCAAAACGATACACAGAGGTACAGATAAGCTGCGTATCTGCATAATTTACGCAAATATTTATGTGAAAACACAATTCCTATTATGCCTATTGCGTACAAGTATATGAAGTCTTGTAAATACTCAATAAATGTGATCATACATGTGTACACACAGAAATGTCAAATCTTTGTTTGTGCGCCAGTGGATAGATAAAACTGAAGTATATTGACAGGTTCTATTTCAGGACATGAACTTGCCAACTTGCAGTCTTTCTTATCATTTCTCATATTACTGATCAAATGTAAATCACAAACACTAACATTTATACTTTATTATATTTTTAAAATTAATGGAAAATGGCAAAATACCCAGTTGAGTTTGAATGAAGTGAGTAGAATTTATTTGGTTACTTGAAGGAAAATTAGGATACCCAGTTGAGATGAACACAAGCGAGTACATAACCCATTGACCCAAAATGTTATCTGTAGCTCTGATGTTATCTGTAGCTCTGATGTTATCTGTAGCCATGATGTTATCTGTAGCCCTGATGTCATCTGTAGCTCTGATGTCATCTGTAGCTCTGATGTTATCTGTAGCCCTGATGTTATCTGTAGCCCTGATGTTATCTGTAGCTCTGATGTTATCTGTAGCTCTGATGTTATCTGTAGCCCTGATGTTATCTGTAGCTCTGATGTTATCTGTAGCCGTGATGTTATCTGTAGCCCTGATGTTATCTGTAGCTCTGATGTTATCTGTAGCTCTGATGTTATCTGTAGCCCTGATATAATCTGTAGCTCTGATGTTATCTGTAGCTCTGATGTTATCTGTAGCCCTGATGTTATCTGTAGCTCTGATGTTATCTGTAGCCCTGATGTTATCTGTAGCCCTGATGTAATCTGTAGCTGATGTTATCTGTAGCTCTGTTATCAGTAGCTCTGATGTTATCTGTAGCCCTGATGTTATATGTAGCTCTGATGTTTTCTGTAGCTCTGTAGCCCTGATGTTATCTGTAGCCCTGATGTTATCTGTAGCTCTGATGTTATCTGTAGCTGATATTATCTGTAGCCCTGATGTTATCTGTAGCCCTGGTGTTATATGTAGCTGTTATCTGTAGCTCTGATGTTATCTGTAGCCCTGATGTTATCTGTAGCCCTGATGTTATCTGTAGCTCTGATGTTATCTGTAGCTCTGATGTTATCTGTAGCCCTGATGTTATCTGTAGCTCTGATGTTATCTGTAGCCCTGATGTTATCTGTAGCCCTGATGTTATCTGTAGCTATCTGTAGCTCTGATGTTATCTGTAGCCCTGATGTTATCTGTAGCTCTGATGTTATCTGTAGCTCTGATGTTATCTGTAGCCCTGATGTTATCTGTAGCTCTGATGTTATCTGTAGCCGTGATGTTATCTGTAGCCCTGATGTTATCTGTAGCTCTGATGTTATCTGTAGCTCTGATGTTATCTGTAGCCCTGATATAATCTGTAGCTCTGATGTTATCTGTAGCTCTGATGTTATCTGTAGCCCTGATGTTATCTGTAGCTCTGATGTTATCTGTAGCCCTGATGTTATCTGTAGCCCTGATGTAATCTGTAGCTGATGTTATCTGTAGCTCTGTTATCTGTAGCTCTGATGTTATCTGTAGCCCTGATGTTATATGTAGCTCTGATGTTTTCTGTAGCTCTGTAGCCCTGATGTTATCTGTAGCCCTGATGTTATCTGTAGCTCTGATGTTATCTGTAGCTGATATTATCTGTAGCCCTGATGTTATCTGTAGCCCTGGTGTTATATGTAGCTGTTATCTGTAGCTCTGATGTTATCTGTAGCCCTGATGTTATCTGTAGCCCTGATGTTATCTGTAGCTCTGATGTTATCTGTAGCTCTGATGTTATCTGTAGCCCTGATGTTATCTGTAGCTCTGATGTTATCTGTAGCCCTGATGTTATCTGTAGCCCTGATGTTATCTGTAGCTATCTGTAGCTCTGATGTTATCTGTAGCCCTGATGTTATCTGTAGCTCTGATGTTATCTGTAGCTCTGATGTTATCTGTAGCCCTGATGTTATCTGTAGCCCTGATGTTATCTGTAGCTCTGATGTTATCTGTAGCCCTGATGTTATCTGTAGCTCTGATGTTATCTGTAGCTCTGATGTTATCTGTAGCCCTGATGTTATCTGTAGCTCTGATGTTATCTGTAGCCCTGATGTTATCTGTAGCTCTGATGTTATCTGTAGCCCTGATGTTATCTGTAGCCCTGATGTTATCTGTAGCTCTGTAGCCCTGATGTTATCTGTAGCCCTGATGTTATCTGTAGCCCTGATGTTATCTGTAGCTCTGATGTTATCTGTAGCCCTGATGTTATATATAGCCCTGATGTTATCTGTAGCTCTGATGCTATCTGTAGCTCTGATGTTATCTGTAGCCCTGATGTTATCTGTAGCCCTGATGTTATCTGTAGCTCTGATGTTATCTGTAGCCCTGATGTTATCTGTAGCCCTGATGTTATCTGTAGCTATCTGTAGCTCTGATGTTATCTGTAGCTCTGATGTTATCTGTAGCTCTGTTATCTGTAGCTCTGATGTTATCTGTAGCTCTGATGTTATCTGTAGCTCTGACGTTATCTGTATCCCTCACGTTATCTGTATCCCTGATGTTATCTGTAGCTCTGACGTTATCTGTAGCCCTGACGTTATCTGTAGCCCTGACGTTATCTGTAGCCCTGACGTTATCTGTAGCCCTGATGTTATCTGTAGCTCTGATGTTATCTGTAGCCCTGATGTTATCTGTAGCTCTGATGTTATCTGTAGCCCTGATGTTATCTGTAGCTCTGATGTTATCTGTAGCTCTGACGTTATCTGTAGCCCTGAGGTTATCTGTAGCTCTGATGTTATCTGTAGCTCTGATGTTATCTGTAGCTCTGATGTTATCTGTAGCTCTGTAGCCCTGATGTTATCTGTAGCTCTGATGTTATCTGTAGCTCTGTAGCCCTGATGTTATCTGTAGCCCTGATGTTATCTGTAGCTTTGATGTTATCTGTACCTCTGATGTTATCTGTAGCCCTGATGTTATCTGTAGCTCTGGATACAGCAAGATTATTGCATATGGCATGGTATGATTTCTCAAATTAAAGGTCACATGCAACGTAAAACACAACTTTTCAGATTCTGATACCTTTCGGTATGGACTTACGGAAACAAAACCTCAAAAATGCAAATTCAACTTATAAAGTTGAAAAAAAATGCGATGAAAAAAAACCCGCATGAAATCGGAGTTCAAACTATTCACTAATTTTCCCCCAGCGCTTGGGGGAAAAGTGGTTTCAACAGCTGGGCTGCGCTCATAGCACATGCGCAGTGAAATAGGTTCGCGCAGCTTGGAAGCGGGTTGTCCGGTGAATACACGGTGAAGGCTTTAGTGTGAGCTATTCTTCTAATGTTTTGTTGATATTGCACAGGAGCGAGCTTTTTATATGTTATGACAGTAGATTACCGATTTAACTGTTCATAAAATTTCATTTGTCTATTTCACCACACGTTCTTCTTACCGAGTCACTTTCACAGTTCGATACTTAATGGCAATGTCATTATTTAGCGTTGACAGAATTTGTAACTGTGATATAGATATGTCGTTGTCACAGACCAAACTCAATGTCTGTTTTAGTGACACCTATGTGTCTGCCTACCTGTCTGCCAATGACAATATTCAATACACAACTTCGATCACTGACCACATGCAATTTGAACTTAACACCTATCAGGGGTGTCCTCCCATTTGTGAGAACTCCCAGTTGTGAGACACATTAATTAATAGTTCAGTGCACACAGGTGGTGCTTCCCCATCCCTACGATGAAAGTGGGAAGAGCCCTGTTGCTGAAGAGTACCCACAGGAGGCATAGTTCATTAATGAGTTAATTACACAGAAGACATTGTTCAGGTTGAAGGTGAGGTGAGGTGAGGTGATATTCTACTTTTAACGCCTCGTGATCGGAAAGAATAGGTTTTGCTCATATGGATTAATTATAGTTACAACAGTGTATTGCTAGATCAAACCACGGCTGAGTTGGTAACTAAGCTTTCAAATGATCCTTAAGCTGGTTTTATAGTGCTAGCTCACTGAGATACCTGCCGCAGTGAAGCATGAATACCCCACTCAGACACATTATATACTGACTCGAGCCGACCAGTCCTTGTTGTACCCATTAATGAGTAGGCCAGGCAGGGACCAACAAGTACCATATTTTGGGAGTTCTTTGGTGGAGTGACCCGGTCTGGGATCAAACAAGCGACCTTCCGCTATCCGGGTGGAGGCTCTAACATTACTATTACACAGACAGGCACATGTGATACTTGAAGATGCATTTATTGTTTTCAATAGATACTGAAATACTGAAAAAGCATGTATTTATTGTGAACTGGTGATATATACACACACACAATTGTTGAAGGCCTGCCATAATGGACGTTACACTTGAGGTGCACACCCACCTGGGAGCTCTGAAAGGGCAGTCAAAGAAGTTAATAAATACATTTGGATTAATTATAGTTACATACAGTTGTTTATAGATTTTTCAAAACACGTGATAATTCTGTTTTAAAATTAATTTTTTTGGTTGCATGTGATCAGACAATTGCACCCAGTTACCATTCACAAAGTGTTTAGTGGAACAGTAGGCTTCAAGTAAGAGTTGATACAGTATCTGAGGCCCTACTCTGCAGGCATTGATGCCATCTGATCATCAGTTTATCATATTTGTACACCCACCCATTCCACAACGATGGTAAAAAGGTCTGATGTTTCCAACCTGCCAGTACCCTGTGTAGCAGTGTCTGACTCATTCCTTATACACAATGAACATTGAGCTACGTCGCACTGAATGATTTCTCACCTGCTCTGTGTGATTATCTTTGCCATCAGAGCGGAATAGATTCAACTTGTAGTCTTCCCCAGCAGACACAAAACTGAAAATAGAGGAATTATCTGGTATAATTGAGGCACAAAACCTGAAGTGAGTGAGTAATTTTGGTTTTAAAAGTTTAGCTCACACAAAAAGATAGTTTGAGTGAATTAGGTTTAATATCACGGCAGGGGACACCAGAAAATGGGCTTCACACAATGTACCCACGTGGGGAATCAAACCCAGGTCCTCAGCTAGCCGAGGCAACGCTTTAAGCACTAGGCTACCCCAACACCCCGCTTCTAACTGGAAATGTTCAGATAAGTTGCTCTTGAGAGTGAGTGAGTGTAGTTTTAGACCACTCTTAGCAATATTCCAGCAATATCATGGCAGGGGACACCAGAAATGGGCTTGACATATTGTACCCATGTAGGGAATCGAACCCACGTCTTCGGCGTGACGAGCGAATGCTTTAACCACCTGGCTACCCCACTGCCTGTATCAAGGCATGATCTTCTAATGACGTAGGAAAGACTCTCCATGACCAGCCAATGTGTTACCTGATGTTCTTGGGCAGGACACTGAGGGATGTGGAAGGACTCCAGGCTAGGGCTGTGGTGTTGGTAGCCGACTGGAAGTCATGGATACAAGCGTACTGGACCCCGTCAACCGTAGCATCCTCTTCCTGCATTAAACATACACAACCATCATATGAGTGAGTAAGTTTTACACTGCTCTTAGAAAGATTCCAGCAATATCACGACAGAGGACACCAGATTGACTTCACACATTGTACCCATGTGGGGAATCGAACCCCGGTTTTGAGCTTGAAAAGCGACACTTCAACCACCATGCTTCCCAACCACCACACAATCACATACACTCAACCTATTGCTTGTACATACATAACACTCAAGTTGTTAATGACACATACATATTTTGGATTTAAAATAGCACTGCATTATTGCATAGAGAATTGAACAAGAGCTAAAAATACAGTTGGTTAACCTACCACGAGTTTGGTTGTCACAACTAGTGCCAGAACCTAAATAATGATCAAGCACTGCAAATGGTACATACACTGTATGAGACAGGACCTATGTAAATATCGAGATTATTTGATGTACAAAATAGCATTATTATCTAAATAAATTAGGATCATCTCGGGAAAGATTTCCGCCCGTAACCACCGTATTTTTTAAAATCATTATATGACTAAGAATATATTCGTCTATGTTTTTTTTATAAACAGCCTATACCTAACCCTAAAATCTAGCCCCAAACCTAACCCTAAACCCTTGAAATAATCATAAGGAATAAAATACGGGGGTTACGGGCGGAACTCTTACCTAATCTCGTCATATCATCCTTAATAGAAGCATAATACAGTATGATACTAGTGTGTGGTATATGTTTATTGCCACGAACTTAGGATACTCAGAGGTATGAAAGTGATTCTCATAACCTGAAATCGGCAAGTGAAGATAGAAATTCGGGAGGAGGTGGCGACGGCTAGTAATTGTGAGCTCCACTCGAAGGGTGAGAATTCCACACACTGAACCACATCGTGACATGGGATAGTGTATGCAGTACTGCGACCGTCCTCCATATTTCAAACACAAAATAAATCACATGTGCGACCGGTTTGTTTTGGCGCTTCCTACTTCACGGGAAATAGAGTTACGTCCCCTATCATAACACTCAGAATAACTCGTGCTTTTCCGGATATAATCGGTATTACCGAAGCGCATAAACACTCATTCGTGACCCCATTCGTAACTACTCGCCCCTTTCCGTGACCCACTCGTGTTATTCCGGGACAAGCCGAATAGCGGTTATGGAAAGAGGCGAGTGGTGACGAATGATAACAAGCATCGATAGGGGGACGAGTCTTCTTTGAGTTTACGGAAAGAGGCGAGTGGTGACGAATAGAACGTTACAGATAAATAGAATAATTTATGTGTCTGCTGAAATGTGATGTATCCGTCATCTCGTGACGTTTAACACAAAACGCCATATTTAACTCGTAGCTCCGCTACTCGTGAAAATGTCACGTTTTTCACGACACTTGATGACAGATAAATGATACATCATGCGCGGATCCAGAGGGGGGGTGGGGTGCGGGGGTGCGCACCCCCCAAGAGTGTTCCAAATGTACTACATGTTTTATGCCCAGGGTTCCGAGGATTGGGGTGCACCCCCAAAACGAAAATCCTGTATCCGCCCCTGTACATGATATTTCACGAGACACAGGAAATATCCTTAAGAACTTTGTTGTTTATAAATCAATACGATCGTGGTTACTCGGTCAAATAAAATAGTGTTTGTTTTCTCTGTACTCACCAATATCTTCATACCTATTTAGTAACCTTTTAATGCGGCGCCGTTCTAATAAAGTTTGTTCAATGGACACTAGCATACCAAGGCATGCAGCATGAATGACAGAATACAGTCTTGCAGTAAAATGTGTTTTTTTATAACTAGATGTTCAAAGGAACTGCGGAATGTGCATCTGTATCTATCCTGGTCGTCCACTGACAGATTGCCACTTAGTTTGCTCTGTGTTCTTTTTGCGATGTCTCTCCACCAGCCATTGTCGAGTAGTAGATCATCTTATTTAGATGTTCTTGACGTTAGACGTTGTCAGTAAATAAAATCAGTTTTACAGCGAAGAAACACGTACATATTTAGAAATGTAGATTACAATGCATGGAAAATACAATTTGCGTTTCAGTTTTTCAAAGCCACAAGCTCCAGAGCAGTGGGGCGTCCTTATACAAGCACTACCCAAAACATCTTGCTTCTCGTATTCCATAAGTATGTGTTTGTGTGAATAATGCATTTGTTAAAAGTAGGGTTCTGTATTGGCACATAGACTGTATTGTAATATAGAGCGATTCGGGTCACCGTAAGGCGAGACGTATTGTGATAGACTGGAAGCTAAACAAGTGAGTGACCATACTGATGGTATGTTTGTAGATCCTAATTACGAAGGCAAACATTTTTTCAACCGGATACATCGGTTCTCGGACACAATATTGCAACAGATGTCGTTCGAAAATCGTATACCTGCCTGTACTACCTAGACTTGCACAATACCGTGGGAGAAACTAGGTCGACATGTAAGCAGGCAATCATGATCACTTTTTGACAAATGGTACAAGCAGCCTGTCGGTGTTATAAATACCGCTGTGTTGTTGAGATGTCAGTCTTTGTCCGTGTAACTTCCGAATGTTATAGTGTCACGCGCTCAGTACCATGATTCGCACCTGGCACATATATAAGAATTAACACAAGACTTAACATAAGGCTTAACCACGTATAGAAGGCTCGATAGGACGAGTTTGTTATTCAACGCTGCAAGAAATCTATGTAGTCCACACACCCACCCACCTAATAACTTCATCGGCGGATGTAATGTGACTTATCGCCCGATTTGTTGGGAGCAGGCCAGACCAAGTCGTAGATGGTGGTGGGGTGGGGTGGGATTGGGATTTGTGTTCGGTGTTCGGGAGACGAGATATTTTTCAGCCAAAGCTGAAACACAGATATTTTGTAATTTGGTCGATGGTTTAACTATATCATCTTGCATCAATGAACCTTTTGTGACAGGCAATCTTTTGATCTGTCTAAAACTTTATATGTTTTTCCAGCATGTTTATGAACAAGATATTTTTTTTCGATAAAAGGGGAAGACGGAGAATGTAAAAATATATGTCGGGGATACGATAAAAGGGGAAGTCAGTGAGAAGATGTAAGGGGACGTCATGTATGGACGACGTCACGTCAGTTTAGTCAGGAAGGCGATAAGGGGGGGGGGGGGGAGGAGGGGATCCGCTGTTAAACCTGAACCTTCTCAGCATTGTAGTTAACGTGTATGATCTGCCCCTATAACTTCACTATTGTTCAAAGCGGCGTCATGTAGAATGTTCCCGATCTCCTCCTTTAATCTTTGCACATGTGAAGCTTGAATACATGATATACGTGTGCAGACGTGACACATGTGAAGCTGTGACACGTGTGAAGCCTCGATAATTAGTGTGAATCTGTGTTCGGATCAGGTTCCTGACACGCCTAAGGGACGTAACCAAGCCACAGGGCAAGCCGTTCCCCCCTGTCAACAAGGTTATGCAGACGCAAAGGGCTTTAAACTGATATTTGGTTTTTTGAATAAGGCGATGTAATAGAAGTGTTTTCCAGTTTTTATTCTTATAAATACTTAAAGAAATGAAAAACAATCAGCTAAATTATACAACAGTAAACACGTCATCACGAGCGTGACGTCATGAACAGACATAAGATCACTGGCAGGAAGAGAGCTATGGCGACCACCCGGAGAGAACTCCCAGCTGCTGTAGGGGTACAAGGGGGGTGCGAGTTGACGAACATCATGCGTTCTTCCTCTCCTTGAACAATTGGACTCTGCTGCTGCACGTACGCCACGAACACGTCGAGGTCAAGGTCACCTGTAACAAGGTCGTTGACTTGCATCAGACGTATTTTCAGATTAGCACTTTCTTTCCGTCAGCTACTGTTACCACCTCCGCGCTGTTATCTACCATCCGTCCTTCATCAGACTATATAATTTAACACTTCTACATCATCGCCAGCCACCTAACCAAACTCCTTCAATTAACCCAGTTTCACTTACATTTCAACCATTTCGCATGTTCATAGTCATAAGAGGCAGGAAAAACTCCACATCGGTGCCAATCCTTGTCCTAACCAGATTTCCACTCAATATAAATCGAATTAAGAAATAAGAAACCAGTGAACAAAACAAACCAGGACAGATTTTGTATCTGCTTCGTTAATGAACTTTTAGGTCTCTTCAAATTGTGATCTACATTTCCAACTGATAAGAAAATTCAAACCACCAACGTAATTCGTGTCAAAAACCTGGATTTGAAAGTTGCACCACTGTAAACATAGGCATAATCTGCTTGATCATTACCATAAATACCACACACGATACAAAAGCCACGAGCGTCACATCATCCACACGTTACATTCGCATCACTGTCACGCAACATTCGTTACTTGGACACACACGTCACATTCAGCATGCACGTCACATTCACACACACACTTGACATTCACACACAGACGGCCACACGTCACATTCGGCATGCATGTCTCATTTAAAATGTACGTCACATGAGCACGCACTTGACATTCACACACACACGTCTCATCCACCACACGCGTCCACACGTCACGTTCGGCATGCACGTCTCATTTAGCACACCCGTCACACTGGCCACCTCCACATTCGTTACAGCGTCTCACCAATGAGGTGATGCTTGAGTTTGTTGTCGTTGATGACGTCGTAAAAGTCTCCTCCATTAGCCAGAAAGGAGGGCATTATGACCTGGTAGATCTGATTTGGCTGGACGTCCTCGTATATGGGCACCTCGCACCTGGTACACACTGCCCGCAGTCGAGTCACCCGAGATCTCACGGGACGGGAGATGTCAAACTCAATCTTCAAACCTGTGGACACAAGAGGAGCAACCATAACGGCTGACATGACCTCAAGCTTGGCATACGATAAATGTTATAAAATATACATCTTTAAGCAACTGAAACTATTGTCATAGTGTTGTCATAGGGTAAACCATTTCAATAAGTTTCTGTAAAACTTCATATATTCAAACAACATAATTGTTTCCATATATATCCAAAGTGCACCGAAATTCTATCCCCTTTGTCTGTTTAATGTATTCAGCAATCATTCGGTGTAGCCCTTTTATCTTAAACCCCCCTCAGGGCAGGACCCTCAATTCTCAATGCCATCAGTAAATGTCAATTAACATCTCCCCACGTCGGCGGATCTTACGTATGTACATGTGCACAGGTCAGTGACCTTGCACAACGTGGCGTAATGTCCCTATGCATAAAACCGGACTCACATGGTCAGTCAGGGGAGACCAAGCAGGGAGACCAGTCAGAGACGAGGCGAGGAAACGGGCCCAGATCATCCACCGAAGCGGACGGACTGTGCGGCTAGTCGGGGCGTCGGCCAAGGCCGTCGCCTCACCAACGACTACGTCGACGATGAAGAATCACCGTCCGACTTCTGAATGTGTGTAAGTGACAGAGCGGGTCTCCACATCGGGAACATTGGCCACTCGGTCCCGATGTGCGTTCTGTCACGTGATTTCCATCTTATATACCATTTCGACCATTATTATCCAACCATAATAAACATGGCTGCTGCTGTCTTCATCTATACTGCTGACTTTTGTCTTCCGCCTCTTGAACTACCATCCGAGAGTACCACAACGTACGCTCTTGGACACTATCAACAGAAGACGCCATCGGATCCAAATCGCTCGTCAATTTTTCTTCATCATCATCGTCACCATCGTCGTCGTCGTCGTCGTCGCCCTCCTCCTCCTCCTCGAGTTTTCCCCTATGTTTCTTATGTCATAACTTTCCTATGAATGTAATAAAGTAGTTTGTGTTTTGTAAAGGTGGAAATAACTGCAAAACCTTCAGTTGCCCTCCCACTCAGTAAACCACTAGATGATGTTTCCTGTTTGACCTGAGCTCCATGCCGTGCCGGCTTGATCACAGAGAAGGACGCAATGGATGATCGATCATACCTGCTACTTGTAGGAAGCCGCCGAATCTTTCGTCCGTGTTATGGAAAGACACCGAGTGCTCGAAGACAGCCTTAAGGTGACGTCCGTACAGCTCCACGATGTCGATGGTGTTGCTGAACGGGAGAACCGTGGCTGCTTGTCCGATGGTGATGTCACCTACAGATGACAAATAGTGAGTGAGTGTTTCTCTAGCTATAAAATGGAAACAATGGAGTCAAGAAATATCACAAACTGAAAACATAAAACAACAACAGAAAAACATTTATATGCTGAAAAACAATAATCCAAACAGAACCAGAACCGGCTCCTACGAAGATCATGGTACTTAAGACTCCCTCTTACACTGAGTCTCCACGAGGTTACTTATATACACGTTATTTACCAAGTCATGACTAACGATCCAAGCTATTGGGTCAGGATAACAGATCCATGATTATACTACAAACATATGTTAATGGCTACCAAATGCACTACAGAATCCCTGCGTGGTTGAAAGTTCAATAACATTTTGACGATGGCAACTATTGAAACAACACAAGATCTGAAGGCCTTGGTGCTATGTTGAAGAGGGTAGACAGGGGAGAAGGTCTCACCTTTAGGGATAGGAGATCGTCTCACCTTTAAGGATAGGAGATCGTCTCACCTTTAGGGATAGGAGATCGTCTCACCTTTAGGGATAGGAGATATTCTCACCTTTAGGGATAGGAGATCGTCTCACCTTTAGGGATAGGAGATCGTCTCACCTTTAGGGATAGGAGATCGTCTCACCTTTAGGGACGGGAGATCGTCTGACCTTTAGGGATAGGAGATCGTCTCACCGTCTCACCTTTAGGGATAGGAGATCGTCTCACCTTTAGGGATAGGAGATCGTCTCACCTTTAGGGATAGGAGATATTCTCACCTTTAGGGATAGGAGATCGTCTTACCTTTAGGGATAGGAGATATTCTCACCTTTAGGGATAGGAGATCGTCTTACCTTTAGGGATAGGAGATATTCTCACCTTTAGGGATAGGAGATCGTCTCACCTTTAGGGACAGGAGATCGTCTCACCGTTAGGGATAGGAGATATTCTCACCTTTAGGGATAGGAGATCGTATTACCTTTAGGGACAGGAGATATTCTCACCTTTAGGGATAGGAGATCGTCTCACCTTTAGGGATAGGAGATCGTCTCACCTTTTAGGGACAGGAGATCGTCTCACCTTTAGGGATAGGAGATCGTCTCACCGTCTCACCTTTAGGGATAGGAGATCGTCTCACCTTTAGGGATAGGAGATCGTCTCACCTTTAGGGATAGGAGATATTCTCACCTTTATGGATAGGAGATCGTCTTACCTTTAGGGATAGGAGATATTCTCACCTTTAGGGATAGGAGATCGTCTCACCTTCAGGGACAGGAGATCGTCTCACCGTTAGGGATAGGAGATATTCTCACCTTTAGGGATAGGAGATCGTATTACCTTTAGGGACAGGAGATATTCTCACCTTTAGGGATAGGAGATCGTCTCACCTTTAGGGATAGGAGATCGTCTCACCTTTAGGGATAGGAGATCGTCTCACCTTTTAGGGACAGGAGATATTCTCACCTTTAGGGATATGAGATCGTCTCACCGTCTCACCTTTAGGGATAGGAGATCGTCTCACCTTTAGGGATAGGAGATCGTCTCACCTTTAGGGATAGGAGATATTCTCACCTTTAGGGATAGGAGATCGTCTTACCTTTAGGGATAGGAGATCGTCTCACCTTTTAGGGACAGGAGATCGTCTCACCTTTAGGGATAGGAGATCGTCTCACCGTTAGGGACAGGAGATATTCTCACCTTTAGGGATAGGAGATCGTCTTACCTTTAGGGATAGGAGATATTCTCACCTTTAGGGATAGGAGATCGTCTCACCTTTAGGGATAGGAGATCGTCTCACCTTTAGGGACAGGAGATCGTCTCACCTTTAGGGATAGGAGATCGTCTCACCTTTAGGGATAGGAGATCGTCTCACCTTTAGGGATAGGAGATATTCTCACCTTTAGGGATAGGAGATCGTCTTACCTTTAGGGATAGGAGATATTCTCACCTTTAGGGATAGGAGATCGTCTCACCTTTAGGGATAGGAGATCGTCTCACCTTTAGGGATAGGAGATATTCTCACCTTTAGGGATAGGAGATCGTCTTACCTTTAGGGATAGGAGATCGTCTCACCTTTAGGGATAGGAGATATTCTCACCTTTAGGGATAGGAGATCGTCTCACCTTTAGGGACAGGAGATATTCTCACCTTTAGGGACAGGAGATCGTCTCACCTTTAGGGATAGGAGATCGTCTCACCTTTAGGGACAGGAGATATTCTCACCTTTAGGGATAGGAGATCGTCTTACCTTTAGGGATAGGAGATATTCTCACCTTTAGGGATAGGAGATCGTCTCACCTTTAGGGATAGGAGATCGTCTCACCTTTAGGGACAGGAGATATTCTCACCTTTAGGGATAGGAGATCGTCTCACCTTTAGGGATAGGAGATCGTCTCACCTTTAGGGATAGGAGATATTCTCACCTTTAGGGATAGGAGATCGTCTTACCTTTAGGGATAGGAGATATTCTCACCTTTAGGGATAGGAGATCGTCTCACCTTTAGGGATAGGAGATCGTCTCACCGTTAGGGATAGGAGATATTCTCACCTTTAGGGATAGGAGATCGTCTTACCTTTAGGGATAGGAGATCGTCTCACCTTTAGGGATAGGAGATATTCTCACCTTTAGGGATAGGAGATCGTCTCACCTTTAGGGACAGGAGATATTCTCACCTTTAGGGACAGGAGATCGTCTCACCTTTATGGATAGGAGATCGTCTCACCTTTTAGGGACAGGAGATCGTCTCACCTTTAGGGACAGGAGATCGTCTCACCGTTAGGGACAGGAGATATTCTCACCTTTAGGGATAGGAGATCGTCTTACCTTTAGGGATAGGAGATATTCTCACCTTTAGGGATAGGAGATCGTCTCACCTTTAGGGATAGGAGATCGTCTCACCTTTAGGGACAGGAGATCGTCTCACCTTTAGGGATAGGAGATCGTCTCACCTTTAGGGATAGGAGATCGTCTCACCTTTAGGGATAGGAGATATTCTCACCTTTAGGGATAGGAGATCGTCTTACCTTTAGGGATAGGAGATATTCTCACCTTTAGGGATAGGAGATCGTCTTACCTTTAGGGATAGGAGATATTCTCACCTTTAGGGATAGGAGATCGTCTCACCTTTAGGGATAGGAGATCGTCTCACCTTTAGGGACAGGAGATATTCTCACCTTTAGGGATAGGAGATCGTCTCACCTTTAGGGATAGGAGATATTCTCACCTTTAGGGATAGGAGATATTCTCACCTTTAGGGATAGGAGATCGTCTTACCTTTAGGGATAGGAGATATTCTCACCTTTAGGGATAGGAGATCGTCTCACCTTTAGGGATAGGAGATCGTCTCACCTTTAGGGATAGGAGATATTCTCACCTTTAGGGATAGGAGATCGTCTCACCGTTAGGGATAGGAGATATTCTCACCTTTAGGGATAGGAGATCGTCTTACCTTTAGGGATAGGAGATCGTCTCACCTTTAGGGACAGGAGATATTCTCACCTTTAGGGATAAGAGATCGTCTCACCTTTAGGGACAGGAGATATTCTCACCTTTAGGGACAGGAGATCGTCTCACCTTTAGGGACAGGAGATATTCTCACCTTTAGGGATAGGAGATCGTCTCACCTTCAGGAGTAGGAGATCGTCTCACCAATGGGTAGAGAAGATCGTATCAGGGTTAGGAGATCGTCTTACGTTTAGGAAGAGGAGAACATCTGACCTTTATGGATAAGAGATCGTCTCACCTTTGGGGATGGAGGATCTGATGCCCCCTGCGTTGGTGATGGCGATGCTGACGTTGTTCCAGTAGAGGGAGTCGGAGTGCCTGATGTTTTGTTTCACCATACTGTCTGTGATCACATCACCTGTCGATGTGACAACACCCGTACCATTATTTGACCGTAACGGAATGACTTATTCGGTTAGGGGCACGGATATTGCAGTCATGCAGAGTTATGTACCTTGGGCACGCCAGAATCCTGGTCCGTCCCGGTAATGTTTCTAAGGTTTGTGTACTGATCTATACCCCTGCTCATGGGTTTCATCAAAGCGGGAAACATTTGTGACCTGAGTCACCTCGAGCTTTCCCCCGAAATAAGCTGACATGCAGTAGTAATATAACTAGAATATCACCGTTAACAATAATACATAGCACTCTACGAACAAGTAACGGAAATACACTATAGTGTATATTTAAGTCAATACTTACGATACATACACTATGTCGTCCACTACCTGCGGTTCCACAAGGGTATTTTTTTTATTGATAAGAGTTTTATGCATTAAAACCGCAGGGGATTTTATTACGCGTGGAAGTATTACTGACTCTCAAAAAGGGTCAAATGCAAGGAAAATGTCATCGGGCTACGAATTCCAAGTGCAAAACGGCTTGTCATTCCTTGTTAAACTTCTGACTTTTAATTTATCAGTCCACCCAACCAATACGTCATAACAATACATTGTAGAGTAACTACCAGATTGTTTTTGCTTGTTTGTTGTTTAACGCCGCACTCAGCAATATTCAAGCTTAATGACGGCGGTCTATAAATATTTCCGTTTGGACAAGACAAACCCGTGGTTGACATAATGAACATGATCCATGCAGTTTGGATACGATGTATATATCAACCAATTCCGTGAGCATGACCACTCGGTCCCTTAAGTCGTCTCTTACGATAAGCATTTCTTGCTGAAGATCAATTTTTACTCGGATCTTCATTGGTCTCCGCTGGAAATATTACCATGGTGTATACTATCAACCTGTAATGACAATGCATGTATTATCCGTCAGTACAGTACGATATCTGGAGTATATTGCTGGCCAAATCCTTACCAAGATTGCATTCCCTCAGTCTGCATATTGCCTTCTGCCCCTGTAGAGGTACGTGGGACTTGCCGACGATTTCATAGGCTGTCTCGTCTATCTGCTTCGCGAATGGCGCTAAGAAGGCCAAGGTCGACACGTCTACAACACAAACGTTAAACAGTCTTCAGACGAGCCATAACGTCCAGTAACGTAGTGTTGTTCTTGGGTATTGTGTCAACCCTGTGCTGTTTTAATAAACGCATTCTATCAACCCTGTGCTGTTTTAATAAACGCATTATATCAACCCTGTGCAGTTTCAATAAACGCATTATATCAACCCTGTGCTGTTTTAATAAACGCATTATATCAACCCTGTGCTGTTTTAATGAACGCATTATATCAACCCTGTGCTGTTTTAATAAACGCATTATATCAACCCAGCACATCATGATAACACCACAGAGCACATTGTTCCAGCAACCTTACCAAGCAGGCTATGCTACCAACCAACCTTGTGCTGTGTTGTTGTCCAGTAGGATTGGGTTACCTCCCCATGATGTGATGACACCATCCGGGTCAAAGGTGACTTGCAGATCTCCAAGATACTTCCCGTAGGCGTAGTCCTGCACCACAGTACCTTGGCCCCTCCCGACTGGGTGACCACGTGGGGATACTCTCCTACCGGTTTCTCATTGGACGGATGTTGTCCTATAAAACGGTTGGATGAAAATGATACCAGACATTACTTAGAAAAGTGAGTGAGTTGGGTTTTAGTCCCTTTGAATAATCAGCTACACCACACCATGGCCACGCAATGTGACAGGAAAACTCAAAGTTTAACTTTAGGTACATATAATACCTAGACATATCCACGGTACGGATCGGACACATTAATCATCATGATAAGGCGGAAAATGTATCCTACTAAAATCCCATCCTTGCACAGCAAACTGTGGAGCCTGTAGCCGGATACACAAAACGTCAACACCAGGTAATAACCGGTCTCGGTCATCTCACGAAACAGATCCATGATGCGTAATTATAAGAGTGAGTGAGTGTGGTTTTACGCCACTTTTAGCAATATTCCAGCAATATCACGGCAGGGGACACCAGAAATGGGCTTCACACTTTGTACCCACGTGGGGAATCGAACCCGGGTCTTCAGCGAGACGAGTGGACGCTTTAACCACTAGGCTACCCGACCGCCCGTAATTATTGAAGCAAAATAGCAGTGAAGAGTACAGGAATGGAGCACTGAAAATCAGTGTTGGCACCAGGTGTTCGCGAGAACAAATGAAAACCCCTTTATCCATACATCTCGTACCTATGTACAAGAGTGTGTTTGGTATGTGTGCAAACCACTTATCATTTGACATAAATATACCTACTTCTAGTAGTGGTGGTCCGATTAATTGAAATAATCGAAGATTGTTGGCAGTGACTAAACGACCAAGCAATCGATCATGTTTTCTCATAATCGAATTTTGGAACGCTTTTTGCATTAACAATATTTTTCACAAGGTTGGTTTTGTCAGTTACATTTCCTGAGCACTACAAGCTCGTTCCAAGTCATGATTGAATTTATCTTCAAGCCCCAAGAAATTTATGTTTCTAACATACTAGTCATCCTTTCAAGATGTGAAATTTGCCAAAAAAAACCTCCCAAGAACTACATGTTTTTTTCTTTATGTTTTTGTGCATTAACAAAAATAACCAGGAAAATTTCATAAATGACGCTAACCAATTATTTTCGATGACTGATCGGTTGCAATGAAGCAATCATCAAGTATGAGATTTTAACCAATTACCAACACTAACTTCCAGTAATGCATTTAACTGAGTAAACATATTATGAATATGGCTGACTAAGGAACCTGCATCGTGTTTCAGATTACCTATATACGATTGTAAATACAAAACGTCATAACTACAGAAAACCATTCTCGATTTTTCAACAAAACAGACTGTTTTAAAGAGCAACATAGCGGTGACAAATCTATGCATGGGCCACGGTCAGTGAGAACAGTGATGACACCAGTTGATGACACCTCACCTGTATATAGAAAGGTGTTGTCGTGGCCCCCTACGATCACGTCAACTCCCTGCACGAACTCTGCGATCCGCTTGTCGACATCGAACCCAGAGTGACCGACCGCAATGATCTTGTTGATGCCCTGCTGCGCCAACATCGACACCTCTTTCTGTATGGTAGCTACTTCGTCCTCGAACACGAGGTCTTCACCTATAATCCATTACGTGAGCATGTACAGTAAACTACGGTTATGACGAACTCGAAGGGACCAGTAATTTTAGTTCGTTATAACCGAAGTTCGTAGGTACACAGGGTTATGCAGTGAGAATAATCGCGTTTACTTTATTCGTATTTAAAACACGCCTATTTTTTAATTTGCATTCATTTACATGCGATATCTTTGAGTAGACATGTGCGGTGAAGATAGAAAAGGCTGCCATGAGGTGCATCTAAATTTGTGTATTCGGGTAGGGATGAAGGTATAGAGGGTATTTAGGGCATAGGGATACATGATGAAGGTATAGAGGGTATTTAGGGCATACGGGTACGTGGTGAAGGTATAGAGAGTATTTAGGGCATACGGGTACGTGGTGAAGGTATAGAGAGTATTTAGGGCATACGGGTACGTGGTGAAGGTATAGAGAGTATTTAGGGCATACGGGTACGTGGTGAAGGTATAGAGGGTATTTAGGGCATACGGGTACGTGGTGAAGGTATAGAGTATTTAGGGCATACGATACATGATGAAAGTATAGGGTACGTGGTGAAGGTATATAGAGTATTTAGGGCATACGGGTGCGTGGTGAAGGTATAGAGAAGTATTTGTAAAAAGAGAATTATTTAGGGCATGCAGGGTACGTGGTGAAGGTATAGAGAATTATTTAGGGCATACGGGTACGTGGTGAAGGTATAGAGGGTATTTAGGGCATACGGGTACGTGGTGAAGGTATAGAGTATTTAGGGCATACGGGTACATGATGAAAGTATAGAGAGTATTTAGGGCATAGGGGTACGTGGTGAAGGTATAGAGAGTATTTAGGGCATACGGGTACGTGGTGAAGGTATAGAGGGTATTTAGGGCATACGGGTATATGATGAGGGTAAAAAGGGTATTTAGGACATACGGGTACGTGGTGAAGGTATAGAGAGTATTTAGGGCATACGGGTACGTGGTGAAGGTATAGAGGGTATTTAGGGCATATGGTACGTGGTGAAGGTATAGAGGGTATTTAGGGCATACGGGTACGTGGTGAACGTATATAGGGTATTTAGGGCATACGGGTACATGATGAAGGTAAAAAGGGTATTTAGGACATACGGGTACGTGGTGAAGGTATAGAGGGTATTTAGGGCATACGGGTACGTGGTGAAGGTATAGAGGGTATTTAGGGCATATGGGTACGTGGTGAAGGTATAGAGGGTATTTAGGGCATAGGGGTACATGATGAAGGTATAGAGAGTATTTAGGGCATACGGGTACGTGGTGAAGGTATAGAGGGTATTTAGGGCATAGGGGTACGTGGTGAAGGTATAGAGAGTATTTAGGGCATACGGGTACGTGGTGAAGGTATAGAGGGTATTTAGGGCATAGGGGTACGTGGTGAAGGTATAGAGTATTTAGGGCATACGGGTACGTGGTGAAGGTATAGAGGGTATTTAGGGCATAGGGGTACGTGGTGAAGGTATAGAGAGTATTTAGGGCATACGGGTACGTGGTGAAGGTATAGAGGGTATTTAGGGCATACGGGTACATGACGAGGGTATTTAGGGCATACGGGTACCTGGTGAAGATTCAGAATGTAGTTTCCCAGAAATTATTGAGAAAATCTTTGTTTCCTAAGACAGATAATTTAATTTTGAAATAGGTGTGATGTTATGTAGTAAGGTACTCAATATGGGAGGCAACTCTTGTAGGCTTAAGACTGAACCTTACTGCATCAAGAGTTATCTCCCCTGGTGTAGCAGACGGCTTCCTTTGTTGACATGGCAGATTTGACCGCAGAAGAAAAACGAAAGCTGGTTCTAGATGATTTTGAAAGGGGTGTGACTAATGCAAAAGAGTTAGCTGGTAGACATGACATTCATCTGTCTACAGTATACAGGACTTTGAAGAATATTCAATCAGGAGTTGGGATTGAGCAGGGAGGCCAAGGAAGTTCAGTACTTGGTCAGATTGTGAGTAGACGGACATTGAAAAGTGTTGAGAATATCAGGAATGAGACGACTAAAAGAGGAAGTCTTCAGGTATGTAATGAAACCCTTTTGACAAGAACTACTAAGAGTTAACTGGGTGAAAAGGCGCGAATTTCCTTCACCATTGATACCATTAAAGATGCTCAAAAAGATAGACGTAACAAGTGGTGAAGGGCTCACGAAAATCAAGATTGGGATAATGTTTCTTTTCTGGTGAAAGTTCTTTCTGGCTTTTACCGAACTGTGTGAAAATTTGGACAAAAGATATCGTGAAACCTATCTACCTCCGCCCAAAACATAGCCCGAAATTTCACATGTAGGGCGGGATATCATCACGTGGAGTGACGCCGTTGTGTATTTTGCTGGAAATTTGACGAAGGAACGATATGTTGACATCTGAAATGATGCCCTCCTTCCAACGGCCCGAACACTGTATGAATATAACTGGATTTTTAAGCATGATAACGACCCAAAACACACTGGGAGCTACACAAAACAGTGGTTGTCGGACGAAAATGTTCAAGTTTTAGACTGGCCCAGCTACAGCCCAGGTCTTAACCCTATTGAGAATGTGTGGGGTCTAATGAAGGACAGAATAAACCAAAAAGGACCTAGAAATATTGAGGATATGAAGCAAAAAGTGGTCGACTATTGGGATACGCTGTCAAACGATTTCCCACAAACTTTGATCGGTAGTGTAGGCCTATCTATAGGCGCATCCAGTCGTGTATTGCAGGGCAAGGGGGGCTTACAAAATACTGAAAATACACTTGGACTGTAAGAGAATCATATCTCAACATATTCATTTTAGTAAAACTTCCATTGTTTATATACATGTATTAGATATTTGTCGAAACACCTTTGTGCCTTGTGAAGGTACAAAAGGTACGTGGGTTACACGGATACCTGGTGTAGATATTGAGGGTGTCTCCTGTGTAGTGTATCCAATGACCCCTATCCTCTCTCCTCCCACTGTAAAGATGTGGCTGTTTTTGAACTTTGTTCGAAGTGGAGAGTCTTGGTTGAGAAGTCGAATGTTTGTACTCAACACGGGGAAGTTAGCAGCGTCGAGAAAAGGGATGAGACCAGACTGCCCCTTGTCAAACTCGTGGTTCCCCAAGGCCTGTTGAAGACAGGAAAGTGATCTACAACAGGCAACAGCGATAACACAGGCACTGGCACAGGCACTAGCCATTACTAGGGGGTTTTACACTAAATATCTTAACTACAATTGATTGCACTGCTCATTTGATACGGTTTTGGTTTTGCTGTTTGTTTCTGTTTAATGCCGCGCTCTTCAACATGAATGATACAGCATGGCAGTCTGGAAATGATCGAGTCTGGACCAGACAATCTAGTGATCAATTTCACGAGTATCGATTTTCGCAATTGGAATACTATGACATGCATCAAGTCAGCGAGCCTGACCACCCGATCCCGCTAGTATCCCCAACGACAAGCTTGGGTTGCTGAAGACAGTTCTAAACCGGATCGTCATGAGTACATTTAATATACAGGTGGTATTAGGTAGGGAGTATGTGAAATATTGATGACCTCCACGTTTATGCAAGCCTTCTCATGCCACCCCGTAACTGACCATCGCAGTCAGCAGCAACCCAGCTGCTAGACGGCGGCTTATAATAATCAAGTGTGCATCAGAAACACACCAGTGATGGATATTATGAGTATAGACCTATGACGTCGAGGTATGACGGCACGCCATCAACCCACTCACCGATCATCCAATCAATTCGCATGTTACGGCCAGATTCCAAGGTACCACTGACTGAGTTTGGGTTTACGCCGCTTTTAGCAATATTCCAATCCAGCAACATCACGGCGGGGGACACCAGAAATGGGCTTCACACATTGTACCCATGTGGGGATTCGAACCCGGGTCTTTGGCGTGACGAGCCAACGCTTTAACCATTAGGCTACCCCACCGTCCCCAAGGTACCAATTCGAACCCGGAATCCCCACGATGTTGAATGTGAAACCATGCAGTGGGATGGTTAATACACCAGAACCCTTTTACCCAATTATCGTTAGGTTCAAATATATGTATTTCATTTTTAACGCTGACAGGTACCTCTGTCGTTACCTGTAAATAGTAACAGAGGTATTGTACGAACATGCATTCCTTGTCCAGTCCCAAGTACAAAGTGGAAAGGTATAAAGGTATTTTATGACCACGTACCTTTGATTGTGTGGTGTTTACGGGGCAAAATATACGTCATGACAAAGGGGCCAGGTAGAAGGGGTGTTAAATGTCAAAGGGTATGTGAGAAGCGCTAACTAAGGTATAACCTACGTGTGGTGACCAAGAGTTCAAGGAAGAGGTTTAGTTTAATGAACCAAGCAGAAGGAGCACTGGAGGAAATCGGTGTCGGTTATAGAAGAAAGTTGTATAGCTTTGTTTAGGGCCAAGACAAATCTGTTGTGTTTGAGACGCCAAGGTTCTGGAGAGTTTAGTCGAAGGCATTCATGTTAGGTGTTTACAGTGCGATGTAGAAGTGGTGTTTAAGAAACTGGTAGAATAGGTGCTTAAAGGGACCTATATCACGTGTACTAGGAAGCAAGAGTGTTAGAGGGGCATAGTGGGTGGCACGAATGTTGAAATGGTGGGTACTACATTTTTGTATGGTAGGAAACAGTAATCATAGAGTTGTGTGGTGGGGGATTGGTACGAGGGGAACGCAGGTGGAGTTGGGGTTGATGGTAGCACCAGTGTTGAAGTGGTGGGTATTTGTATGCCTGGAAGTTGTAGTCTTAGAGTTGTGGGTGGGTGGGTACATGGGGGGTTTACAATAGGTACGTGAAGGGTGGGGGTTGAGTTTGGGTTGATGGTAGCACCAGTGTTGAAGTGGTGGGTATTTGTATGCCTGGAAGTTGTAGTCTTAGAGTTGTGGGTGGGTACATGGGGGTTTACAATAGGTACGTGAAGGGTGGGGGTTGAGCTTGGGTTGATGGTAGCACCAGTGTTGAAGTGGTGGGTATTTGTATGCCTGGAAGTTGTAGTCTTAGAGTTGTGGGTGGGTGGGTACATGGGGGGTTTACAATAGGTACGTGAAGGGTGGGGGTTGAGCTTGGGTTGATGGTAGCACCAGTGTTGAAGTGGTGGGTATTTGTATGCCTGGAAGTTGTAGTCTTAGAGTTGTGGGTGGGTGGGTACATGGGGGGTTTACAATAGGTACGTGAAGGGTGGGGGTTGAGTTTGGGTTGATGGTAGCACCAGTGTTGAAGTGGTGGGTATTTGTATGCCTGGAAGTTGTAGTCTTAGAGTTGTGGGTGGGTACATGGGGGTTTACAATAGGTACGTGAAGGGTGGGGGTTGATTTGGGTTGATGGTATGCCAGTGTTGAAGTGGTGGGTATTTGTATGCCTGGAAGCTGTAGTCTTAGAGTTGTGGGTGGGTACATGGAGGTTTACAATAGGTACGTGAAGGGTGGGGGTTGAGCTTGGGTTGATGGTAGCACCAGTGTTGAAGTGGTGGGTATTTGTATGCCTGGAAGTTGTAGTCTTAGAGTTGTGGGTGGGTACATGGAGGTTTACAATAGGTACGTGAAGGGTGGGGGTTGAGCTTGGGTTGATGGTAGCACCAGTGTTGAAGTGGTGGGTATTTGTATGCCTGGAAGTTGTAGTCTTAGAGTTGTGGATGGGTACATGGGGGTTTACAATAGGTACGTGAAGGGTGGGGGTTGAGCTTGGGTTGATGGTAGCGATGGTAGCACAATCACCTAAAGCATGAGGCATATAGGGCAGGGACTGTAGATTTAACCTTTGTCCGAACATATTGTTCCATATACTATTTTCAATGGTCCATTCACATACTTTTCGCGGCTATTTTGTTTTCACGCCCAGGGGAATCTTATGCCTCGACGGATAATCGAGACATTAACGACATTAAAGCTCTCCCCAACTGTGCTGCAAACGAACACATTTCTTAATGTGTTTCTGTTTTCATAAACAACGGAATCTCTGTATTTATCTCACACATGAATGGCGTTTTCTGATTGGCTGAGCGCTCTTCTATTATTTTCAATGTACCCCGCTTACAAGCGAGTAACATTTTCTATGTTACCCGCTGGGAACATACACAGGGAACATAAAGAAACATAGAGGGTACATCATCAACCCATGCTACCCTCGTCACCAGTTAACAAATTACATTGCACACAGTATGTACTCGGCAAGGCGGAATTCGAAATTAGTTTATCGGTTTTAATTTCAGCAACGTCAGTACATACCCTAACGTGCAACATCGGTACATACGCTGTTTTTCTGGTCAATCACCTGATTGCCAAGTTTGTACAGATACAGATACAGATACAGATAAGCTGCGTATCTGCGTAAATTACGCAAATATTTATGTGAAAACTCAATTCTTATTAAGTCTATTGCGTACAAGTACGCATGAATTGTTGTAAATACTCAATATATTTGATCTTACATGCGAACACACAAAAGTGTCAAATCTTAGCTTGCGTACCTGTGAATTAGTTCCTGTCACTAAACCTACTAGAATTTGGTATAAGCAGACCCATGTGCTACAGATGGAGGTTACTGAGGATAGATAAAATAGCTGAGGTATATTGAGAGGTTCTTTTTCAGCACATGAACGTGGCAACTTGCAGTCTTTCTTATCGTGTCTCATATTACAGATCAAATATAAATAATCAAAAGTTAAACTTCATTATATTTTTACAATTAATCGAAAATGGCAAAATACCAAACATAGTTTGAGTGAGGTGGGTACAATGTATTTGGTTACTGACAGGAAACTTAGGATACCCAATTGAGATGAACACAAGCGAGTACATAACTCAATGACCGAAAAAGTTATCTGTAGCTCTGCATGTTTATGCAAATCGTGTGTTTGGCAGGTGCTAACGGTAGGTTAAGACATGGTTACCATTTTCGTGAACATCTGGTTTCATCACGGATTTTCAATGATCCATTCATATGATTTTCACTATTATTTTGTTTAGGAGGATTATAGAGAGCGATTGTCTTCTAACGTTTAGGCTTTATAGTTATAGAGAATAGTAACAGCAGTGTAGTCTGTCTCACAGTCCCTGAACTACATTATTTTCCCTACTGACTAGCTTTCCCCTGGAATGCTAAAGAACTAAATGAAGCAAGTCTAGATTTCCCCAGGTTCAGGAATCTCCAACTCACTGGGGCTCCTTTTCAATTTAAATGGGTTTATTTGTCACTATCAATGTTATATATATTCAGGGACCAAGCTTTAGTCTAAAAGCAATGGCGGAAGTGATGGGTACCTCAGGGTTTGTTTGCTTTTTGTTTAACGCCGTACTCAGTAATATTCCCGGCTTGTGACAGCGGTCTGTCAGTAATCGAGTCTGGACCAGACAAGCAAGTGATTGGCATCATGAGCATCGATCAACGCAATGGGGACGTCAGTCAAGCCTGGGTCCCGATCCACAAAGCGATCGTAAAGTTACGACCTGTCGTAAATCTATAGTATATCACAGGCTTACCGATGTTGGAGCGCCACAAACGCTTAGGGGATCGGGACCCTGGCAACGCCCTTTACGACAAGCTTGGGTTGCTGAAGGCCTTTTACGACAAGCTTGGGTTGCTAGAGGCTAACCGAGCTCCACGGGTTCAAGGAAGCAGTCGTCTTAGAGGGGGCCTGGTATAATATATATGGGGTTTTAACGAGACAGAAAGCAGCAGTGTTATGTTATGGGCAAGAAAGCAGTAGGGGTCGGGCATATTGGTCTTTAGCGAGGTGAGTACCACCAGTGTCGAAAAGGTGTCTAAGCTAATTTACTGTTTGATTAGTCAGGTATTGAATTCATTTTGAAAACTTTGTAAACCACGCGACGTGTCAACGATAGAAATCGCGAGACGTGCTGCTTGAACCTCTGACACAAAGTTAGTGAAAGTGTCTGTAACTGAACTATAGTCCACGTCACGCCATTTTCTGCTTTCTGAAGTTAATAGTACACAAACCGACCCGGGGCTTTGTAGGTAGTGTGTACATAGGGCGTGGTGGTCGCGTCCTCTGTATACACTCTGTATACTCTCTGTATACACTATGTATACACAGACAGTTCCTACCAAGTGCATGTATTGTCGTACTCATTGCCCAGTCACGCTTATTGGCACGTACCTGTTGGGTCATTCACCTGGGTTTCGTAAGGTGCCTGTTCTTACCCATCGTCGAAACACTATTTCTATTAACTATTTAGGAGATAAACATACTGTATTGGAAAATCAGAGGTATATAACGAAATTATAATAGCTCTAAATCTGATTTAAAACTAGCTCTAAATCTGATTTAAAACGTGCGTGAGATTTTAAATAAAACATCCAACTGTGTTGGAAAATCAGAGGTATATAACATGAATAAGACATCTGAATGACTTTAATTAACCAATCACAAACCAGTATTTACTGAAATCATGGTAGAATATATTTTACCATTTGAACATTTTTAAGTAGTATTGTAATGCAAAACTGTTACGTGTCAAAAACATCGTATACTATTTGCAACTGGGATGTATTACACTGTTAACCTCGTTAATCTGGACCACACAATTCACAGTGGATTTAACATAGGCCCGTGTTTAACGATCAGATGCGAGTAAAAGCTCTTCCCAACAAACAACCACATAAAACAGCAATAGTAGCAGCAGCAGCACCACCACCACCAACTGCTACTACAACAATTATAGTAGACACGAATGATCTAATGGTTTCCTTAATGTTTGTCAAAACTGTCAAGCTGTCATCATAACGGGTCTTGTTCTGTGACCGTATTTGATGTCAGCGGGGCATTGTATAGAACTGGTTTACCTTAAGCTTCTCTCTTTATATAGCCCTTCGAATTATTTTTATCTTTAGGTGTAGGTGAGCGAGGTTTAGTTCACCTTCAAGATTACTGCACATATGCGCATGTGTGTTTATGTATCTGGTGTGTGTGTGGTGTGTAGGGTGTATGTAAGTGTGTTATGCTAGTCCGGACCAATGCCGGTTTTAGCAGGTGCGAGCGGTCAGATACCATGTATATAATAACTACTCATTCACAGTGGACTAGCCCCGGTCAGTCTTTGTGTTCTTCCCGTAATGCAGAGAACAAAGCAGGGTAACAATCAGGACATGTGTTACCATAAATTATGTATCAGGTTCGACCCTTCGCTCTCCGGGCAGACGCGCTGTCCTCTACACCACTGATTCGGTGTCTATCTAAAGACGGGACGGTGGGTTGGCCTAGTGGTCAAAGCATTCGCTCATCACGCCAAAGACCCGGGTTCAATTCCCCACATAGTTATAATGTGTGAAACCCATTTCTGGTGTCCCCCGCCCTGATATTGCTGAAATAATTCTAAAAGAGGCGTACTACCTAAATCAAACCATTCCTGGTAATCATGACTCACCATGGCATCATATCCTAGATGGTTCATGAAAGTAGCCGTTCCGGCTCCCTGGAACTTGTAGAACCACAGGGTGCCACTAAACTGGTCTCCACCATCGAGCAGAAGAGTGTTGGTTCGGGCACTCCTTATCTCCTGGATCTTAGTCTTGAGACGAGCGAAGCCCCCGTAACATTTCCCTTCAGCTGCATTGACGGGGGAACACTGACCGCTGTACTTGTTGGTCTGCTCGATACGAGCGTGGACGTCGTTGGTGTGGAGGATGGTGAGGTTGAAGCTGACGGCCACAGCAGGCAGGATGAAGGCGATCAGAGGAAGGATGAACATTATGAGATGAGGAGCGACAAACAACTGTCACTTATCACGAGCGTCACAAGCACTAAGCTACTGAATGTGTACAGGAGTTGGTATACATGCGGGTAGATCAGGTGTTCCCATTCAGTCAACCGATTCACTGAGTAACCCTGCAGTGTCGTGGAGTTCAGGGCTGTCATGAAATGTGGACGGTTTACGAGGTGGAAGGACATTCATAATAACAATACATTCGTGACCAACTCGTGTTATTCCGGGAGGTTACGGAAAGGGGCGAGTGGTGACGAATGAATAACAATACAGTGAAAATAAACACCCGCGGGACATGTGAAAAAGCGAACCCAGGGAAAACATGTCACCTATTGTATTTCTAAAACAGATGGAAGATTTGAAGGTTAAAAGCTGAAAAAGTCTGGATATCAATTTCTTCACAATTTGAAATCATTTTCCAAAACACAACGTAAACAGTGTGAAAAGTGATTTGATTGTCGCAAAAAAACATTGTGTACATGTTGTCAAAACACCACAAATATCGTATCCATTTGCGACGCTGCCAGAGCCTGACGTCGACGTTCCTGACACACCGTGGACGATTCAGTCGATGTTGACGGGTTCATGACATGTCCCGAAATGGTCGACACACCCGAGCGCCCACAGCACCCAGTGGTCTCATCACTGTGTTCCTGCTGATGCGGTGACCCAACGCTGTTGATGACGTCGCGGTGAGAACCTGTTGCGCAAAAGTTGAATGCTCAAGTGATGGTGATCATGATGGTGTCAATCACGGTCTTCTGAGAGTGTCAGATATCTGGCTGACATGTCTCATTATTGGCAAACAAGGATCAGTTCAGCACCGACCTGACAATTGACCCGTATTAGCATGTATGAGTTCCGCCCACTGGCACTTGCCATTGTTAGCGAGGGGCCCCAGGTTGTCCGCGATCAAGTGTAGTGCGACTTGCTACACCGAGTCTTATGAGCAAGGCGTGTGCAGCTACGCGCGGAATCAATATCATCGTCATACAATGCACGTGCACTAGCCTACATCTACTCTACCTTTCACAAACCAAATGGGTTTGCTCATTGCCGTGGACCGCCTACTTCTCTTAAACGCGTTCTCTGCGCCGGTCCAACTTATCCTTGTTTGCCAGTAGTCTCATGATACTTTGCTGACACGGCAATATGGCTGTTCGAAACCCCATCTGCCACATTACAATGTTTCCTTCTCCCACAGCTGCTAATAATCTTGACATTATGATATGTGTCTTTAAGAAGGGAAACCATTAACAATCCCATTCGATTATATTTATATGACAACAGGCACGTGGGATCAAACAAAATCATTAGTTTCCTGATATGGCACCTGTTGCAATGTTAAAGCATATATGTGGTGTTTTGGAAACTTTCAAAACAGTTTTCACAATATTTACGTTGTTTTTGTTAACATAAGCCCAAAACACCAGGTGTATACTTTCTTTTGTACGTCAGTTTATATAAGTCAGTGCTGAGTGCATGTGGATACGCGCTGACTTTGGAGGAACAAGATCGTGATGAGATGTGTATTGAAGCTCCAAGAATCTACTTGGATACCTTGGTTCTGAATCTCATGCTTGTACGTGTTACGGACACGGATAAACAGCAGGGTCTGAACCAAGCAGAGAAAAATGCTTTGAAATCCATGATCCTGCTGACTTTTAAATAAAATTAATGTTTCCGTTTCTAACAGAATGTATTGGAAGCACTGTGACATCGAAATATATGCTTTCTACCAGTTAGTGAAGTACCCCACACAGAGAGACTGTACAACTTGTAATTGTACACCTGTAACGGTATACAAACATATATTTCTTAATATCCTTCGTCAGATTGAAAGAATGCCATTGACGTAATCGTCTGATGACTACATCCTTCATGTCAGTTACTACCCAACACACTAATAATCAACAACCACCACAAGCACTATAACGACTACTTTACCACCAGAACTAAGGCGGTTATGAGTCCGCCAAACATGTTAATATGATAGGGATTGTCCATTTCCCTTCTTCTTCTACTACTACTACTACTACTACTACTACTACTACTACTACTACTACTACTACTACTGCTGCTACTACTACTACTACTGCTACTACTACTACTACTGCTACTACTACTACTACAAAACTGTAACTAGTACATTCCCAGAACAACAACAACAGCAACAACAACTACTTCTACTGCTACTACTACTACTGCTACTACTGCTACTGCTACTACTACTACTACTGCTGCTGCTACTGCTACTGCTGCTGCTGCTGCTGCTACTGCTGCTACTGCTGCTACTGCTACTGCTACTACTGCTGCTACTGCTACTGCTACTGCTGCTACTGCTGCTGCTGCTGCTGCTGCTACTGCTGCTGCTACTGCTACTGCTGCTGCTACTGCTACTACTGCTGCTACTGCTGCTGCTACTGCTGCTACTGCTACTGCTACTGCTGCTGCTGCTGCTACTACTGCTACTGCTACAAGGCTGTAACTAGTACATTCCCAGAACAACAACAACAGCAACAACAACTACTACAACAACAACAACTACTACTACTACTACTACTACTACTGCTACTACTACTACTACTACTACTCCGGGCGGTTAGGTAGCCTAGTAGTCAAAACTTTCGCTCGTCACGCCGAAGACCCGGGTTCGATTCCCTACATGGGTACATTCTGGTGTCCCCCGCCGTGATATTGCTGGAATATTGCTATAAACAGCGTAAAACTAAACACACTCACTCATCCACTACTACTACCACTACACCTTCTACTACAAAGTAAGCAAGTAAGCTACTAGCAGATTTCCAGCTACTACTACCGTTACAACTACAACACCCAATACTGTATATTAATAGCCAATATGGATTTACACAGTATCATTCACAACACAACAAAGGGTAGTCGGTATTGGTCACATTCAGTTTTCAGGTCATACTCACTGTAACACCGAAGGGACAAAGAATACTGAAATGTTGATCTCACGCATAAATCACGCATCACGCACGCACGCACGCACGCACTCACGCATGCACGCACACACTTCTACGACTACGGCGGTTAAATATAAATATAGAAGCATAAAGTTTCATGTTAATCCGCTGCGATGAATCTTTTGAATGGTATCAGTACTTGCAAAAGGTGTAAATACGCCACATTTCAAAGAGCGAATATTCACAATATGCCATCCTTTATCCACACAAATAATGGTGGTGTCATCACAGGGCATGGGACATGAGTTGACTGAAGAATAAACCAACTTGGAATACTTCTTCTTTTCAAAAGGAGGCGATTAAATGACTGAAATACGATTACACCGGACACTGATATTCTTTACAGTTAGACTAAAGTGGCTACCCCACTGTGAATAGCCCCTCAATGCTACTGTATGGCTCGATCCATCGCACACTAACAGCGTACGCCAACTTTTATATACACTTCGATATTGTATTGTCATTCACACAACCAGTAAGTGTCTTCCATGACGGTTGAGCTAAATATATCCTCCTTGCAGTTTGAGTGTACATTATTATAGTATGACCAGAAATTATTGAGAATTTTAGGAATATGTTTAATTGGATATCTAGTATAAACAACCTTGACCATCTATCAAGTGCTTGGTTTCATTTAAAAGAGACAACTCCGTTAATCCTTTTTCATTAGTTTGTGAAGAGTTATCCCCCTTTGTTTACTTGCTAGCAGACGACATTTTCAGTGATCCTCAGTATGGATGATTTAGAGAAGAGGAAGTTAATTTTAGAGTATTATAACAAGGACATCAGATCAGCTTAAGTGATTTCAAGTAGAACAGGCATCCCTTTGTCCACTGTTTATCGTGTTTTGAAAAATATTGCAAATGGATATGGCATTGAACACCAGGGAGGCGCAGGTAGGCCCAGAAAATTGACTGTCGGTGACAGGAGGCAGCTTGGTATTCTTGTTTCTAAAAACAAACGAAGGAGTTTAGAAAACTTAAGGCTGGATATGATTGATAGAGGAACTGTGGCTGTCTGTAAGGAGACAATTAGAACTGAGCTGCATGCAATGGGTTGGCAGAAAAGTCGAGGAATTCCATCACCGATCATGAAACCTGAACAAAAGGAGCGAAGGTTGAACTGGTGCTTACAGCATGGAAATTTTAATTGGGACAATGTGATTTTCTCAGATTAACGTTCTGTGTGGCTGTTTCCTAATACACTGAAATTCTGGACCAAACAAACTGAAAAACCTTTGTATCAGCGCCCAAAGTACAGTCCGAAATTTAGCGTGTTGGGTGGCATATCTGTGTTAGGTGCAACGCCCCTCTGTGTATTTGAAGGGAATATAAACAGTGAGCGGTACACAGATATTCTCGAGGGACATTTACTTCCATCTGCTCACGTGTTCTATGGAAATATTTGGATTTTCCAGCAGGACAACGACCCAAAACATCGTTTAAGCATTCACAGTTTCGGCCCCAAAATATGACATTATTAGATTGGCCAAGCTATAGCCCTGACCTAAATCCAATAGAAAATGTTTGGGGACTTATGAAGGAAAGTGTCAATAAGAAAATCTGACAAATATTGCTGAATGAAAGAAGAGGTGGTCCGATATTGGGACAGCATGGACCACGACTTTCTAACTTCTTTGATCAGTAGTATGCCCCGCCGCATTGAAGGCTGCATTGCTGCCCATGGTGACTTGACAAAATACTAACTGTTCACCTGTCTTTGAATCTGGAGTTATGTTCTGCTAATATTCACATTTAATACGTGAGTAATGAGTGAATTTTTTTTTACAATCTTAAATTCTCAATAATTTCTGGTTGTACTGTATATGGATATCGTCGTGCAGTATCACCAGACGAAACTGTGATGTACATCTGTTATCCTCTCTCAGTGTTTCTGGAACATTATTTTCCCTTGCGCCCACTCCTTTCTGTAACGCAAATGCCCGAAATGAAGCAACTCTATATATTTCTCATCTCCTTTTTAATATTAATG